ATAAGTGTTCAGAGGGTTAATTGTTTAGTTGTAAAACAGCCATTTATATGTACGGCATAATGTGGAACTTTCTTGCTTGTAAAATTCTCTTTTTTTTAAATATAAACCATGAGCACCATTTATTACACATTTTTGAGTAAATTATATGGTAAAATTTACAAAACCGAATATTCATTGTCTAAGAAATTAGACCTCAAGGCCTTTTAACGGTCTAACGTATTAAAGTCAAGTTTTTACTAGAAAGTATTATTAAAAATTGAAAATTATATAACTTTCTTAATGAGTTCTTTTTTGACTGTTATTCAAAATAATTAAGCTTAGATATTCATTTGACAGAAAATTAGCGAGAATTGGCTCCTTGGTGGATTTTATCATAGTGCAGTTCTTAACATAAGTTATTCAGATATCGTGAGATGCGGTCGGGAGTGATGTAGGTTTCAGAAAAACATTTTCTTTATCGTGCCAACGTTTCGATCTTTTATTGAGATCATCTTCAGGGCTCAAAGTGTTTGTCTTCTGTGTAAGTGTGCCATCCTTGTGTGTCGTGTTGAGAGTGCCCAGTCTTAACATAAGCATGTAGTGTCCCGGTGCAGGATTTTCAGATCTCTCTGTTTGTGTATAAGTTTATTTTATAACCGTAGTATTACGATAGTATTGCTTCTTTTGGCACAACCCCAAACCTGTATACCATAAATCCTTGTAGGTTTTTAATATATGATTTAAAAACATTATTTTTTATAGTTGGTCGTGATTTTCTTCCCAGCAAACATTAAAATAGTCGGTACTTGAAGACAAATTCTATCTTTTTTTTTATGTCATGCCTAGAAATTTTATTGAATTCTGGGATTATGCTAGTTGAAGAAGATTGATGTATCTAATTGTTTTTATATTTGTGAAGTTAAACATACAAATTTCTGGTCGTTTCATTTTATTGTTCTAAGCACCTGTCAAGTCGCGGATGCTGTTTGTTACCATTTGCAGTTTTCTACCGAGAAGGCAGCTGTGTCGTCTATTGTTTTTCCATTTGTGGTCAATTGAATACATTACACGACCTAGGATATTAACGTTTGGTACACTATCATTGATTTCATACAAATCCAAATTATTGGACCATCTTTCCGGAAGTTAGAGGACAGGTCAACATATTATTTTGGTTATATTTTTTCAAGCATATGTGACCTTCGTGCCAAACTTTTCCAATGGCTTGCGATACGTCTAGGAATAAAGGTTTTATTTTTATCTTCCAGAGTTTTCTGTATAACAGTGATTCTATGTATCTGATCTATGGTCGGTGCTGGAACTGAATCCAGACTGGTGACTTGGTTTAATCTTCACTGTTTCAATTAAGGATTTCAGTGTTTTTGCAAAATTTATTCGAATAATTTTCAGATAACTGTAAGCAACGAGATTGAACGGTAGATTAGTACTTCGTGTGGTGGTTTACCTGGTTTTACTATCACGGTGATCTCACCAACTTTTAGACATTAGGGATATACCTAAGCATTAAATAAATTGGTCAATTTTAAAACTCCCATTTTGGGAAGATTTTTCAAAATTTCTCCTGTTTTCAGGTCGAATCCTGGAGCCATTCTAGAATTAGATTTTTTATTTCTTTTGCCAAGACATATTCTGCATTTTTCTACTGGATTGGGCAATTGTTGTGATGATCTTTTATCTGTGATAGATCACTTAAATGCAGCAAATACAGTACAGATCCTAGGGTGCTACTTTGTGTTTCACTAGCCTGATTTCGAACAGAATATTGGAAAAGAATGGAATTAAATATTCGTCTTGTTGTCCTGTGAAACCTTAATTCGTTTCTGACGAGTGGATCTAAGTCACGATAGCTCAAGTGGTAGAACAGCGGCGTATGTAGCCGAAGGTCGTGGGTTCGAATCCCGCTCATGACACTGACCTTTTTATCTCACTAAAAACCGTAATTAATTGAAAGATATTAATTGGTCAAGCGGACCAGGAAAACTAGTGAATTTAATAAGTTAAAATGAAATATATATTCTTCACTAAAGCTCTCCGTGGTCATTTCATTTGTCGCCGAGAATCAAATAGATTACACGACATTTGAAAAATGGCAAAAAGGAGGGAAAATTCAAAAGGTGGGGTTGAGATGGGAAGTTAGTGTCCGAGTGGATCGAAGTCACGATAGCTCAAGTGGTAGAGAAGCGGCGTATCTAGCCGAAGATCGTGGTTTCGAATCCCGCTCGTGACACTGACTTTTTTATCTCAACTAAAAACCTTAATCAATTGAAAAATAAGCATAATATCATATGAAATCAACGAAGGAAAAAGATTAACAGAAAGCGACCTTTAGGCGTAGCAGAATGCTACTTTTTGTGCAAATGGTATTAATCAGTCAGTACAAAGTAAATAAAGGAAGTAAACAAAGCATTATTTATGTTTATTTTTTCTACGATAGCTCCTAATCACCTGTAACTAATGTAGAAAGATAATGGATTTAATTTTAAACTAAATAAATTGAGTAGAGCATTAAATTTGTCCTTCAGTGTACTTCGATGAAACATAAAGCCGTTCAAACTAGCGTCAGTCCGCACCGATTCCCGACCGAAGCAATTGAGAAGTGTATGAACTTTTTTAAGAAATCAGTTGAACTCGGAAGATGTACTTTTGTGCCGGAGGATACTTGTCATAAATTAGGAGATAAGTAGAGTTGGAGTGTCGGCAGTCAACGTCAATTTGTTTAGCATACAATTAGTGTACGGCCGAGGGAGTTATCATTACTAGGCACTCTTTCATGTTGCCGCCGGTAGCTCGCCTTCACTTAATACGATTTATTTATCTTTTTTCTCTCCTCTCTCACTCTCTCCTCTCTCCCTCCCTCTCCTTTTTCCTCTCTCTTTCTTTCTTCCTTTATTCCTTACCTAAACTCGGCCCTTCCAGCTCTTTCACATCCAGCTCGTTTAATTTCACACTTGCAAAGCCGGCCGTCCACAGACAAATAAATTCGTGAAAATCTCGTAGGTGTGCTGAGATGTGGAGAAATGGCATGAGACCGGAATTTGGAAGAAAGTCGACTTACCTTGACTTACTCGCATTCAGTTTAATTCTAATTCCCTTATTTTGAAGTCGATCTGGAATTACTTTATTTTACTTAATAAATAAAAAATTGCAATTATGACCGAAGCTTTCAATCCACTCACTCTCGAATATTGACAACAGTTTTAGTTATTCTTGTCACATTTTGAACTTAAAAATCAATGAATTAATTAAGGTTTTAAGTTGAGATAAAAAAAGTCAGTGTCATGAGCGGGATTCGAACCATGACCTTCGGCTAGATACGCCGCTGCCCTACCACTTGAGCTATCGTGACCTCGATCCACTCGGACACTAACTGCCCATCTCAACCCCACCTTTTGATTTTTCCCTCCTTTTTGCCATTTTTCAAGACTTTTTTATCTCAACATAAAACCTTAATTAATTGAATGATATTAATTGGTCAAGCGGACCAGGAAAAATAGTGAATTTATAAATCAATTTTGATTATTCCTAAGAGTAGAAATTTACCTGGGAGTACGTTTGGCATTTGGTCTTAATACAATTGAAGAACCAAGATTTGCCATAAAAACTATCAATCGTCTTTATTTTTTTGAAGTTTCTCTCGCAGATTATCACTTTATTTTATTTTCTAGTAACTCTTAGAAAGAAGTTTCCCCATTATCTGCTTTCGTCTGGAAATATTTTTTCTTTTTTATCCATTTAGCTTTCCTTCCTAGAAGTCCATATAGTTTTTCCAACTGAAATTTAAAAATAACTATTTTGCTCATTTTTGGGTCCGCTTGGTCTCGCAATTCTTTATAGTAAGTTAATAACTCGGGGGCGTCGGTAGCCGCAACGGTTTAGGCGTTGACACGGAGCTCATCAATGTAAGGTAAACGTCCCGGGTTCGAATCCAGCGGCCCTGCATTCGAACCCGACATACTTACAAATGGGCTTTTTTTCAAAAACACCTGTATCCTGAGGGTTTATATGCCCTCCACTGTTGCGAACCCTCGTAAACGAAAACAAAAAAAACTAATTCCCTTTAAGAAAAAGTTCACAGTAGCGCTCGGATAGTTTTTCGCTTTTCTTTTGTTAAGTTTGTCTTCTTGTTTTATTCTTATTCTGGCAGAAAAGGCCCTTATTTACGGAAGAATTCGACCTCTCAGGTCCTTTTTTTATAAAACGTGGCACATTTCTAGATACTCACTTTTTGACTGAATCCTTCGTCAGAGTTCACGAGGAAATACATCAATATTTTTGTACGTGGTTCTTAGTACTTAGTTTTTAGGTTTCACTTGGTTTGTCGTCTATGTTGCCGATTCCTTTTATCATATACTGAGTTGTATTAAGTTAATTTTCTCTACTGTTTCTTTAAAGTGCAGTAAGATAGATAAAATACGTCCTCAAGTATATTCCCAAACGTTTATGAAATGCATAAATTCGTAAGCTCTTGAAAAACGTAATTAATTGTTATTTTTTTGAGTCCGTTTGGTCTCGTTTGAGGCGAGACGCGCGTGTCAAATGAATGCTCAAGATATCCATTTCCTATAGTTAGACAACTTTGTCTAGAATACTTCCTCGAAATTTCTACTGTTCTTGAAACATGCGAGAAGGGAACACGGCAATACTACACGGACCCAAAATTATGAAATAAAACGAGACTACATTAATTCAGGTGATAGTTGGCAAATGCGACACTTCGGCAGGGTCTACGAGTAATGACGGTTTAGCATCGCAAAAATTTTCTAGTCGTGTAGGCGTTTCGAAAAAATGAAGAAAATGTGACTATGATTTTAAATTTTATTGATAAACATATTCCACATGATTTAACGAAATGCAATTACTATTATAAATTAATTATTACATGTTTTGATGTTTTTGTTTGCTCCTAAATATGTTTCACCTTTCAAACCTAAATATAATTTGGATAATTAAATAGAACTGACATTATTATGTAAACTAATTGGTCTTTAACGTTGTTACAGATGAAAAACTTTTGTCTTTTCCTTCTTTTGTCCATGTTGAATCTGGAAGAAGGTCTCGCTGGGCAGGACGAGGGGTCGAATGTAGTGAATGCACTGCCGCACAACGAAGTATTCCAAAAATTATTCAAGGTGACTAAAATGTATATCAAGAACAACTTTCTCAGCGGGTGGTAAATAATAATAATATCACGTCGATTATGTTAAGAAAAATAAACAGCTTTTAATTGTTTCTGTTTTCTAGTTGCTTGAGGGGTGTGGCCTCGATGAGCAGGCCGGCCTGAGGAAGGTCTACCTTAAAGGCACTGCAACATGTAATGACGGATCACCTGCAGGGTACTGAAAATTAAATTATTGACATACTTAGATATATATGAATTTTTTTTTCTCTTTCTGCAGGTATTATATAAGGCGGTCTTCAGGTAGCAAGCGATGGATTGTTTTTCTAGAAGGTACTGTTTTCAAAAATTTTAAATCTTGATATATTTTGAAAATGTAATAATTTCTTTATAATATTTAGGTGGATGGTACTGCTACGACAAAAGGAGCTGCAACACTCGATGGCATAGAATGCAGCATTTAATGTCTTCAAAAAAATGGCAGGCTGTTAAAAATGGTGAGAAAGTAAAATGTAATTTACAAGAAATTTTTGAAAATTGGCATGTAACAAAAGTCATTACGTTCTGAGGGGAGTTAACAGATCATATTATAATCTATGTCCCTTGAAAATATTTTACAAGTACAGTACAATCTGGGGGTGAAGACGATGAAGGGAATCAAAAACCCTGGATAATGGAATTTAATTTTTTAATGTGCTAATTAAGAAGGCATGTGCAAATATTACTTTTGTTAACATGTATGCATATAATGGAAACAAATTTTGATGAAATAATTCTTTTTTCAAAAAATGTCCATAAAAATTTTTTCGTAAAAAATTTCCAAAAGCAATATTAAAAGCCTATGACAGCGATTCGGTTCCAAAAATACCTCTAACACTCCTACAAGTTTGAAACCTAGAATAGGTGCGTCATCCTGGAACAATGTCTGTAATGGTTATATATGCATTCAATGTAAACAGACCAGTTTGAGTTTCACTAGAACAAGACAAAAGATGGTTCATCGAATCAGAAGTGACTTGTTTGCTATGCAAAATGTATACCTGCATAGTGTACATAAACGGAGCACAGGGCCCGGTTAATTGGATCCCTGGATAATTGAACCCCGGATAATGGAGGTTTTACTTTACTTATAAAAGTAGAATACTGCTGAGGCAATAGTGGCAATATTTTTTAAGTTCATTAGAGTTAGTGGTTCAATTGACAGAATAACTTTTTTCAATTAATTAATCTTTATGCAAGGTATTGGTTAAGATAAAAAAAGTCAGTGTCATGAGCGGGATTCAAACCCACGACCCTCGGCTAAATACACCGCTGCTCTACCACTTGAGATATTGTCACTTTGATTTACTTGGACACTAACTTCCCATCTCAACCTCTCAAAATTCAAAAGGTAGAGTTGAGATGGGGAGTGTCCGAGTGGAGCAACGTCACGATAGCTCAAGTGGTAGAGCAGCGGCGTGTTTAGCCGAGGGTCATGGGTTCGAATCCCGCTCGTGACTGATTTTTTTATCTCAACCAATACCTTGCATAAAGATTAATAATTTTTTTTTAAGCATGAAATTTATATCAATTTTCAACATTTCATACAATAATAAAATAAAATTAATTAAGGTTTTTTAGTTGAGATAAAAAAGTCAATGGCACGAGCGGGATTCGAACCCACGATCTTCGGCTAGATACGCCGCTGCTCTACCACTTGANTCGTCGAATCAGAAGTGACTTGTTTGCTATGCAAAATGTATACCTGCATAGTGTACATAAACGGAGCACAGGGCCCGATTAATTGGATTCCTGGATAATTCAACCCCGGATAATGGAGGTTTTACTGTACTTATAAAAGTAGAATACTGCTGAGGCAATAGTGGCAATATTTTTTTAAGTTCATTAGAGTTAGTGGTCCAATTGACAGAATAACTTTTTTCAATTAATTAATCTTTATGCAAGGTATTGGTTAAGATAAAAAAAGTCATTGTCATGAGCGGGATTCAAACCCATGACCCTCGGCTAAATACACCGCTGCTCTACCACTTGAGATATTGTCACTTTGATTTACTTGGACACTAACTTCCCTTCTCAACCTCTCAAAATTCAAAAGGTGGAGTTGAGATGGGGAGTGTCCGAGTGGAGCAACGTCATGATAGCTCAAATCCCGCTCGTGACTGACTTTTCTATCTCAACAAATACCTTGCATAAAGATTAATTAATTTTTTTTAAACCATGAAATTTATATCAATTTTCAACATTTCATACAATAATAAAATAAAATTAATTAAGGTTTTTTAGTTGAGATAAAAAAGTCAATGGCATGAGCGGGATTCGAACCCACAATCTTCGGCTAGATACGCCGCTGCTCTACCACTTGAGCTATCATGACCTCGATCCACTCGGAGACTAACTTCCCATCTTAACCTCAGCTTTTGAATTTTCCCTCCTTTTTGCCATTTTTCAAATGTCGTGTGATCGGATTGGATTCTCGACGACAAATGAAATGGCCACAGAGAGCTTTAGTGAAGTATACTTCATTTTAAATCATTAAATTCACTAATTTCGGGGTCCACTTGATCAATTAATATATTACAATTAATAAAGGTATTTTAGTTGAGATAAGAAAGTCAATGGCACGAGCGGGATTCAGGGATTCAAGTGGTAGAGCAGCGGCGTATCTAGCCGAAGATCGTGGGTTCAAATACTGCTCATGCCATTGACTTTTTTATCTCAACTAAAAAACCTTAATTAATCGTAATATATTAATTGGTCAAGCGGACCACGAAATTAGTGAATACAATAATAAAAGTTGATATTTGACAAATGTTAAAATCTCATCCACTGGATGCCAAAGACACAAATCATATTTTTGTTAATTATTTCTAAAACATTAAATTGAATTAATATATACTAAAATAAATTCTATGATATGCAAAATTATTAAAATATAAATAATTTTTTCAAGTAAGCTGCATTTTTATTCCTGTGAGTAAAATTTCTATAATTCATCAGTAATTGTAATATAATAATTTCAGTTGGAGGAATTCTTTCGACAAAAGCTGAAGAAAATCCATACTGGTGGAACGCAAATCATGTGTAAATTTCTATTCTTCATTTACCTTAAGTAAGGTTTAAGATATAACAGGATTATTTGTTTAAATTTAGATTTGTCCCGTATTGCACAAGTGATTCCTGGAGTGGACGAAGAGCTGTTCCTGTGCTTGATACGCCATTTACATTCATGGGTGCAGCAATTGTAGAACAAGTGATCTCAGAATTGCTTCCTCTTGGATTACAAAATGCGAATTCACTGTTGCTTGCTGGAAGCAGGTAATGCTGAGTTTTCTAAAATTCAAAACATTTGATTATTGGGACCATGGTAGTCTTGATACTGCATAGTTTACATTTACTTATTAATTGTAATTTTTTTTAGTGCTGGCGGTGCTGGAGTTATGCTGAACCTTGAACATGTCCAAACACTACTTTATCCATATCCCAACATCATCGTGAGAGGAATAACTGACTCGGGATGGTTCCTGGACCGAGCACCTTACTCGCATTACTCAGAATCTCTTGCATCAGTGGAAGCGATCAAGAAAGGGTTGAACCTCTGGGATGGGCAGATGCCTAAAACTTGCAAGGCAAAATACAAACACGAACCTTGGAGGTGTTTCTTTGGATATCGTCTTTATCCAACCTTACTCAGTACGTTATATGACATATTTTGCAGTTTATTTTCAATTTACAAAAATTTTGAATTTTTTAGCGCCATTATTTGTTTTTCAATGGCTTTTTGATGAAGCTCAAATGACAGCTGATAATGTCGGAGCACCAATGACCAAACAACAATGGGATTATGTACATAAAATGGGAGACAGTCTGAGGACAAGTTTCAGAAATGTGACGTGAGTAATATTTCATGTTTATTTTTTATTCTCTTGAATTCATTTCATTCACTAATTTCGTGGTCCGCTTGACAATTAATATATTACAATTAATTAAAGTCTTTAGTTGAGATAAAAAAGTCAATGGCACGAGTGGGATTCGAACCCACGATCTTCGGCTTGATACGCCGCTGCTCTACCACTTGAGCTATCGTGACCTCGATCCACTCGGACATCAACTTCCCATCTCAACCCCACCTTTTGAATTTTCCCTCCTTTTTGCCATTTTTCAAATGTCATGTAATCTATTTGATTCTCGGCGACAAATGAAGTGACCACGGAGAGCTTTAGTGAAGAAGATATATTTTATTTTAACTTATTAAATTCACTAATTTCGTGGTCCGCTTGACCAATTAATATATTACAATTAATTAAGGTTTTTAATTGGGATATTTTATTTGACAGGGTTACGCATAATATCACAAAAATTGACTGATCAAACTAGATGATATTTTCAGATATTCAACTATATACGTTAAGATCAGATATATTTTGAGGTCATGGCATTCATTTAAGCTAGTGGTTCCTAAACTTTTTTGACCCATGGACCCCTTTTTATAGTTAAAAATTGCCCACGGACCCCCAAGTGAAAAAGCCACATAAATGCATAATATAAAAATTACAAAAAAAAGTTTTGTTGAAGAAGTATATTGGAAAAGTAATTTTTGAATATATAAATTATAATATTAATTACTTTTGTTTAAAATAAAATATAAACAAATTAATGACTTGGGTGAACATGATGAGATGTTATGAGTGTATAATTTCTAATCGGTTTCTTTTGTGATGAGGTTCATAACGGCACTGTATCCATGTTCTACCAAATAGAAAGATGGGAAAGCAGTCAACAGCTTCTGTACAATAACCCATAATGCAGGATATCAAATTGTTTTTGTAACCAGAATTTGTGGTATCCTTGTTCAAACATTGGTACAAGTTCCTCATTTGTGGATATTTCAATAAGCTGCTCCTGTATTGGAGTGTTTGGCTGTGTTTGAGATCTGAGTTTGTCCACGCGCAAAAGGGTTCAACACCCAGTCGGGAATATCCAAGTGAAGAATATCTTCAAATCTTTGGTTCAGGTCTGTATGAAGAGCTGTTAAGTGTTGACAGTAAGCAAGCAAATTTCATCTCTAATTTGCAATTTCGAAAGATTTGGAAACTGAGAGCATTCTCCTTTTCCCAAGTTTTATTTGGAAAGAGTTTTGCATCAAAACACAGATATTACGCTTTTAGTTTTGATTAAATTTAATTGGTCATCGTGTAGTTTTAAATTAGTTTTGTTAAATTTGGCAAATAAATAGACATATAGGCTAGGTCATTTTTTGACAATTAAATTGTGTCGCAAATCAGTGTCTTTGGTTTCCAGGAATTTCAACACTGAATCAACAAGCGCATAAAATCGATTAAAACATGCACTTTTAGATAACCAGTGTACTTCTGTTTTATATTACATTATTTTATATTATTATTTATATTATATTATTTTATATTAAACCTTGCGTGGACCTCCTGACATTGTTCAGAGACCCCAAATCAATTTTAATTTTCCACGGACCCCCTGAATGATACCGGGGACCCCCTCCCTCCCTACCGTAGCGACCACTTTGGGAACCACTGAGCCATTTAAGCCATCAAGAACAAAAATCCGTGGAGTGGTGTTTTGGCTTTTGTTTTTATCAGTTTCGGTGTTTTGATTGGCATTTCAGACATTCATAATTCTATAAAATTAAAGAAACAGCAAAAAGTAAAACAACAGTACAATAATTAGAATTTATCAAAAAACAGTATTTACCTTTGAAATTAGCCTAAATCTTAATATTTTTTAATGTAATTTGGTCCTTACAATCATTTTGGTTAGCCCATCCTTGCTGGGTTGGTCTGTCAGACGTGTTTCGACATTTTGACATCTTCAGAATCACACAAAAAATAAATACCGAAATGTGTCTGGCAGACCAAGATCAAAAACTAAAGAGGAAATCTCACAAAATAGAACATATTAAGCTCAATAAAACAAAATCAAGGGTCAATCAGTTTTAATGTTTTCACTGATTCGCAGACTAACAACCACTTTAACAAAATAGGAAGTATTATAGAGTAAAATTCTGTGATTTTCTCCAGTGGTCTGTGAGGTAGTTTTTACACTTTCGATCAATTTGGACTTTCTATCCTTGATGTTTTCGTCTGTTTCTTGAACACTGTTTGAAGAAACTGAAACACATATGATAGAATAAAACAATGAGGATTAGCGGAGCAAAAGTATCGGAAACCAAACTACTTAATGTAAAATTTCAACTGGTATCTGACTTTTAGCATTATTGTATGATAATTTGGAATATTCTTTCTTGATCATTACTTGAAACCATCATTCAATTTCAGATTCGTTAGAAAATTGCTTAAATTTATTTTTTGTGGGTATTTTTTTGTTATTAAACTTTAGCGAAATTCCAGGTCAGTTTTTGCTCCATCTTGTATCTCACATTCAATATTAACCAAGCGGGATTGGCACCTCCTGAAAATAGATGATGTCAGCCTTCCACAAGCCCTTAGGTGTTGGGAGATTAACACCAATTTCAAAAACAACGGTATATCTCCAGTTCGTGGGTAAGCAGGCTTCCCCTAAACTAGTTTTGTTATTTGTCAAGAATTATTTTTAATTACCTTCTTCAAGACTTAGAAGAAAGAATGGAGGAGGAAAAGGAAACCATTTGTCCAACAGTACCCACATGGTAGGTCAACACAAAAAGAAAAGGAGGAAAAATGGGCTGAAAATTCGAACAAAGAAAAGTAAATATTTAACTGTGTAAAAAAAAAAAAAAAAGTGTTGTTAATGATTAACTATTTTAGATAAACGAGGAGGTGCTCGCAGAAACGGTCAGAAATTTGGCCTTCACAATGATTCCTGTAAAATGAGATTGATCGAGCGTTGCTCTTGGCCTCAGTGCAATCACTCTTGCCCAAAACTCCACAATCCATTCACTGGTATATTCTTAATTTCTCTGCTCGTTTCAAAAAATTTAATCAAATTTTTTAGGTGAAGAAATGGATTTCATTGAGCTGCTCAAATCATTTGGTCTGGACATGACGAGCGTTGCAAATGCTCTTGGCATCGACATCCATACTCTGAACAATATGGACCAAGAAGAGCTCCTTAACTTGCTCACCCAGCAGGCGAATTAGACTGAAACAAGTGAATGTAAATAGAAAAACAAATATCAAACTTTAACATGAAATGTTCATCATAATTATCGAAGTTTAAAACTTAATCATAATTTCTTTTTAAATTTTCTGCCTCAATTTTAAATGTTTATTTAAGGCTATGCCGAATATGAGAAAGTACAAATTTCAATATTAATTTTAAGAAACAACTTTAGAAATAAGTTTCATTATTTATTTTACTACTAGTAAGTAATCACATATTTCGACTGTGATTTTTATTTTTTTCTAAAAAATTAATTTGAGTAGTGCTTGCTATCAGACTCGGTACCATAGATTAATAACTATTGTAGAAAATATGATGATTGATTAAAATTTGAATACCTACCAAAATGACATACCTTATTTCTAAAGTTAATGTTTAAAAATGAAATGTAATATTTGATTCAAAAATGCTAACAATAACTAAAAGATTGTTATTTCTGTAATTAAAATATTTTAAAAAAATTATAAAATGTTTTAGATGTATGAGGTATGTACATTTCAGGAATGTATGAGATCAATAGAATATTTATTTTCATATTTAGCAAATCTCAGTTTTATAATTGGCATGTAAAGATGTGTAGTAATAATTTAATTTCTCTTATATTAATTACATTTTTGTTATATTCATAAAGGTAAAAAATATATACTAATGTTTATAATTATTTTTGTCTTTTTGAAAAAGTTAAAATAATTCCAACTTATCCATTACCATACAACTCTTTGAAAGTTACTATAAATATATTATACAGTATTTAATTTAGGTTTATAAGACGTGTAAAATTAATTGTAATGTAATCTTGTTATTTTTTGCAACCTTAACTACCTCAATGTACAATTTCAATCATTTACAAGATAATCTTTTTTTTGTACATTTAAAATTTTTAAATAAAGTGTAAAACACAAAAATTGTATGTTCTAATTTTTTAAACCTCGATGTAGTCTGAAGGGCGTTCAACTTTATTAACGATTTAACAATACTGCTGGCCCAGTTCCTGTTTAACTAAAGGAAAGAGTTACTTATCTTGTTTAAGGCCCTCTCGGCCGATCGGCCAGTACAAATGCAGGCGTAAAGGAGACAAGATGTGGTACTTCCTGGTTTTTCCACTTTTCCAATATGTTAACGGTTTGTATGCTTTCCAGCAATTTAAAAATTAAAAAAAAGTGAAAAAAATGATATTCTCTTTAGGAATGTTGATAACCGTTCAGATTTAAATGCAGTCTGATCCCAATAATTGCAAAAACAAGGATTTTGGATAGTTAATTTCATTCAATTTTATTGTTATTATTAGGGTCAAGATTTTCATGGGAAAATAAAATCTAAAGTATATACATATATATATTCATTTTTAACAAATTGAAAGTAAAAATGTGCAAACTACAAAACAGTTTATTTTGCATTTTTTTGAAAGAATTTGATAATTTACACATATTAGTTGAATAATGTGTAAAAAGGAAGAGTAGAACAAGTTAATAAAATACAAAAATAAACCTTTAATTTTCAAATTTATTTAAAATAATGGGCATTTTCAAATTTTCGTAAATAAAAATGTATCTTTCTAGTCCTAAAAAATTATAAAATAATACCATTTTTTAATTTACAAGTGTAATTATATGTATTGAAAAATGAAAAAAAGTGATAAAATTAAAGTTTATTACTTAAAAATAATGTGCATATTTGAATTTTCAAAAGTCAAATTACAACACTCTGATGATGTAATATTTTTATACTGACTAGATGAACGTTCCACATCTACAGAAATAACAGGAACCCACTTGAAGGCTGCAATTTCACTTGGAGTGAGAGGAATTTCTATTTTGCTACTTTCCCAAATCAAAATGAAAAGTTGGATGCAATAAAAGCTAAATTTTGCATGTGTATATCATAATTTATTTTGCCTTTTCTAGGGCTACAGTGACGTCCTTAATTTTTGAAAAATTTTCAATAGGATTCAGCGGTTTTTATCCAGGCCCTCCATCTCGTTATGACAGGTTGTGGTAGAAGCAATAGATCTGCATAGTTATCTGTTAAAACTATCACTTCTTGGGGTTTTACGAGAAACATTTTTTTTTTTTTTTTTGATATCGCAGAATTCACATCTGAAAATTCACTTTGTATATTATGCAAAGTGTTCTATGAAAGGTCAAGGCGAGATATGTGTATTAGTCTATGATAGAAGATTTTCCCGTTCACTTTTTCTCAAAACTTTTTGTTTGGGTCTTAAAATCTTTAGTTCTCTGAAAGCCTTATGATTTTTGCTAATTTTTTACATATATTTTAGGTACATTCAAAAAAGCTTTTAGTTTCATACTTGCGAAGAGTTCGGTGTTGTGTTATTTATATTCAGTTTTGTTTTAATGAACACTGATGATGCTAACAAGGTAAGTGAAGGGCATCTTCCATAGATAAAGAAAATCTGCTGAAACTAAAAGCTTTTTGAATTTACCTAAACAATATATGATGAGTTTCCATTGCAAAGAAGCAGAAACTTTAAAATAAATATTGAATTTCTTGTAAATTTTCTATAATTTTGTTGTTTATTTTATTAAATATGGACCACGGTAGCTGAGTGGTCAGCAGTAGACTCTTGGTTGGTAGTTGGTTCTTTTTTTGGATACCCTTCCCCCAAGATATAATTAAAACCATAGCATTCTCTGAATTATGTTTCTGGCCAATATTACATAAATAATAATAATAATAATAAAAGGTGAAAATTGTAAATTAATTAATTAAGGTTTTTAGTTGAGATAAAAAAGTCAATGGCACGAGCGGGATTCGAACCCACGATCTTCGGCTAGATATGCCGCTGCTCTACCACTTGAGCTATCGTGACCTTGATCCACTCGGACACATCCCCACCTCAACCACACCTTTTGAGTTTTCTCCCCCCTTTTGAAAAATGGCAAAAAGGAGGGAAAACTCAAAAGGTGGGTTGAGATAGGAAGTTGGTGTCTGAGTGGATCAAGGTCACGATAACTCAAGTGGTAGAGCAGCGGCGTATCTAGCCGAAGATCGTGGGTTCGAATCCCGCTCGTGCCATTGACTTTTTTATCTCAACTAAAAACCTTAATTAATTGTAATAATATATTAATTGGTCAAGCGGACCACGAAATTAGTGAATTGTAAATTAAGGTAAAATATGTTGGAAAATATATAACTTATGATTTTTCCTTCTCGAAGGAAAAATTTTTGTTTGTTCGGAGTCTGAAAGACTTAAATATGTACCACACTGGCCCTTTTTTAAAATAAACTGTTACAAAATATTAATGACTGACGACCACTCTTTTAACCACTGCGTTAACTCACCTGAGGAATTTTTTAGAAGGAAAAATCATAAGTTAAACTGTTGAGGTCGAAATATAAGAAAACATCATAAAATATATATGAAAAATACATAAGTTAAATATATTAATTATATAAAATTATCAAAATATTTACAAGTACGTCAAATAAAATATGGTTTTTTTCTTCTAATTAGCATGAAACGTAAAATAAAAGTTTCAATAACCGTATACAAGGCTCGGAAGAAAATATGTGAATACATATAAATCTATTCCTTATTTATTTCTATAGTTTCTAGATTCAATTTTTGTTAAATGGTACTAATAGATAACAAACCGTATTGATATTTATTATACATCTTTAAATTTAATCTGTATTGTTTTGCTAATAATTAATTTTTTACATTGTGCTGGAATTAATAATGATTTGGCTTTGAATTTTTTTTCTCAGGGCATGAACAATTGGTTGGAATCAGCCCGTTGTACTTAACAGTTTCATCGCTCCTCAGAGATACTAATCAGGGTACGAAGCTCATTGAACGAGAACTCCAGATAAATTGGGAATCAGATGCCTTTGACGCTATAGCTGTATACAGGGAAAATCCGAATGTCGAACCTTCAGATAAGAGTAATTCGCCTTGATCTCAAAATTTATTTTCTTATAAAAAGAAATGACAGTTTTTCAGATAAGCACTTTAGGCATTTCTGATGGCCTGGTTGAAACAAACGTGACTTTGGGAAAACCAGTGTTCCCCAATGGATGGGATATGAATTCTGACTCTCCACCAATCCCAGGTGACCACTGTCTGCCGTTTTGGGTCGTTGGATTTAAACAACATAAGATTATCACTGCTGACTGCATTAAAATAAGACCTACATGGATGCAGGACAATAGGTAACCAAGTGTTTTCCCCAAATTGACTCAAACAGTTAAAATGTTTTAATAACAGATTCAGTCAAGAAATGTGCATTTGTAAAATGCACTACTCTGTGTCTGTTCGTGTTAATAAAATGAAAATAAAAAAATTACATTTTTAGTAAAGGCTGGTGATTAGAAATCTACCAATTACATCATTATTTATTCCTGGTACGCATAATTCAGGCTGTTATAAACGAGGAAGTCTCTTCAGTCAAAGGTTTAATTTTTATTTTTGATTATCATGACAATTAATAGAAATAGTTGCACTTTTATGTAATTTCATAATGTGTAATGTACAGAAGGGATACAACTGGAAAATATATTTTGACACAAGATCAAAGCATCTGGAATCAACTGGTCTATGGCATTAGGTACTTAGATTTTAGGATTGGGTACTATCCCGTTAAAAATGCAACTTCAGAAACTTCGGACAACTGGTATGGCCTGAAATTGAAAATTTATATACTCAAGTTTAATTAATTTTTTGATCGTGTAATAGCTTCTGGATCAATCATGATTTGATAAAAGTCAGACACATGACACCGATTCTCAGAGAATTAAAGGGATTCCTTGCGAAGGCAAAGGATGAAATAGTCATATTGGATCTCCACCGTTTTCCAATTGGCTTCAACAACAGGCCGCAAAGACATGAGCAACTTGTTAAGTATTTAGAACGTGAGCTCAAACCTATTGCCATTCCATTCAAAAGTCCATCAGTAACACTAGATGAAATATGGGAAGGAGAGCAGAGGTTGATTATCTCGTATGGAGAAAAAGAAGTTCAAAAAAGTTAATTTATACATACATATATATATTTTTTTTACAGAAAGTTCATCATAATTTTTAATATATATTTTTTTAGAACATAATTGGCTGTGGCCTCCAATAAGGCAACTCTGGGGCAATAAGCAAACTGTTGAAAAATTATATAACTTTCTCGACAACATCATGACAAACGACTCTGTAAGAATTCCAAGCAAGGGTATGTGGGCTGCGATGGCCCAACTCACACCCGGTCCGCTGGATTTACTATTCAATCCAAAAGGGAGCCTTAGAGAAATGGCCCATCTTGTAAATCCTAGTTTATCGAAGTGGTGCAGGAAAAAATGGTGGAATATGGCCAATATCGTCACCAGCGATTTCTTTTTAGAAACTGACATCATTAACACCGCTATCGCTGCTAACGTCCAACAGGGAAGTGGTCCTCAGGAATACACGACATTTTAAAGTACTGACATCTAAGACATCTTACGGTCTTGTGTCTAATTTTGAAAATATCAAAATGCCTGTCATTTTTTAATGGGTGTTTAAAGAAATTACCTGAAGAATACTTGTGTTTTTTTTACCTTTTAAAGTTATAAAACAAAAATATAGTTTGTAGTTTAGTTGTAGAAACTGCAGGTTCATCATGAGAATGTGTTTGACCCCAGGAGGAAATACCACAACCATATCTGATGTCTTTCATATTGACCAACCATTTTTATTATATAAAGAGAAAGATACTAAAAACTAAGTTACATTGTAACTCCCCTTGTTTTAATTTAAGGCTTTTTTTTTACTGCAGATATATAGGGTTACAGAACAATTTTTTTTCTTTAAACACAACCCCTGATGTAGATGGCCTCAATGGTTGACAGAGCGCTCATCCTTTGGCTAAGATATGTATTTATGAAAGAAAAATCTATAATTAATCAAGGGTTTCATCAGATAGATTTTTTTAATGCTAGTACAAACATTTAGTCACTTTGACATATACCCTCCTCCATTCTCAACCAGGCTTAGGGCTGGCTTTGGCAGAAGAAATTAACAAAATTTACATAATTATTCCAAAATCGTGAGATGCGGTCTGGTGTTAGAAAAACATTTTCTTTATCATGCCAACGTTTCGTAAATCCCAACGTAAAAACGTGTAAATCCCAGTCCCTGAAGATGATCTCAATAAAGATCGAAACGTTGGCAGATAAAGAAAATGTTTTTCTGAAATCTACACCACACCAGACCGCATCTCACGATTTCAGAATAATTATCGACTAACAGTCACTAATCACCACACAAAAAAAATTTCCATAATTAACACAAATAGCACAAAGAAACTAAAAAAGTCAGAAAAAATTATTCACTGCATCTTTAAGCAATAAACAACAAAAAATGCATAAACTAGAAAATTAATTCTTAACTATTTCGGTTAATTCTTGCTAATTCGAAAATTGATAATTTGAATTTCTTGATAATACGAATGAACACGCAAGTCACTTTGGTAAATTTAAAAAATCTTTCTATTGAGATACACTCAGTAATATGTAATATTTTTCATGACTGGGAGAACAGAGCATAAATAAAAATTCAGCCACTTCCCTTCTTTATAATTCAAACTTTTTAATTGTTACATTCCTCCAAAATTCCACATATTGTTTATTTCCTTACAGCCTAAAGTTTCCTCAATTTTTCTATAGATTGTTATGTTATATATTTTCTCAGCATTCATATTTTAGGCAATGGACACACAAACACATTGAAACACAAACCTCTTCATCAATTTTTTTTAATATTGTATAACAATGTTTAATTTTACAGTTCATCAATTTCCACATTTTCATTATTACCTATCATGTATGTACCTATCAACTCTTAATAATTTCTATCTTTCCTATTTATAATTTGAACATCTTGACAAATTGAATTATTTTTGTGGTCCCTTGGGTTTTGAATTATCAAGTCGAATGTAGTTAAAAATATGAAATGTGTTTGTACGAAATGCACTATTCGAAAACTACATTGTAGATAGGCTAATGAATAATAAAATAAATCAGTTCATGAACTTAATTGAGCTTTATTGGTGGTGGGGGGCGTTGGTGGCCGCAATGGTTTAGGCGTTGACACAGCGCTCATCACTTCATATGACCTCTGCTGTTGCAAACCCTCAGGGGGATGGGTGGATTATTCTTTTTAAGTAAGGTCTTGGATGCAATGAAGTCATGATAGGACAAGTGGTTAAAGCAGCGGTCATGAGTATGCAGTATTGAAGGCCATGGGTTCGAATCCTGCTCATGACACTAACTTTTTTATCTCAACCAGGATCTTACATAAAAAGAATAATTAACTAAAATTTCTTATTTATTTTATATAGGGGATAGTGATAAAAGAGGTGGCCACAAGGCCTTCTGAACCTCGACCTGAGTCGATCTGTTGTGCTCCCCTGTGTTTTTTACAAATTCACTGGCCAGCTTTAGGTTGTTAATCAGTGCCTTGCCAGCAGCTCCTTAGTCCTAGTTGGGAGAACCTAACCTTCACAGAAACATAAGATGCATTCTGCAGTTTCTTCCTCTTCCTAGCAGTTATCTGCACAGTGTTTCTTCTGCCTGTACTCCTATCCGGTGCATGTGCTTTCTTAAGTGGCAGTGCCCTGGAGTCAACCAGAAACCTGGTCCAGTTGCGGTTGCCTTCGATTAATATTGCGGATGGCCCTTCTATGAATTTCTTCACCTGCCTCATACCTGTGATATTGTTCCATCATGTTTTCAACTCCATTTTAAGATGTATCCTCTTTTGTAGCAAGATGCTAAGTCACAGTAGAGTTCTGGGCCCAGAGAGTCCATGTTGGCTCTCTCTTTCTCAACATGTCAACCCAAATGTCCAGGGACCCATGACAGGGTCAGGTCATTAGTGTCGCTGACTTCTGTCAAGCCCTCCCTGCAGTTCCAAATGTTCTTTGCCTTCACCTTGCATGAAACTAGGGCCTTTAGTGCTGCCTGGCTGTCAGAGACGATTACTATCTACCGGGAATACATTCCTAGCCTGGGGCAATGACCAATTACTATTTCAGACTAGAAAACTGTAGCATATTTACCTAGGTTTACTGTCAGTTCGGTCTTGGGATTTATCCCGAAGACTCCAGCCCTTTTGTGTATCATACATTAAATAAGAGAATTTTTTATGCGAATGAACTTTTTCTATCCAATTTCCTTTCACAATGAATATGTACTAGACCAAAATACCCTAGATTAAAAAATTAATTAATCATTAGTCGAGTGATGCCTCTGACATTCATCATGCATATTTTAATATTTTTAGTTCAAATTATATGGCATATTTAAGGGGTATTTAGTGTGAATAATTTTGCATATAAACCTGCGCTATAACGATGACATTTGAAAATAAGTTATTTGAGCACCATCATCACGGATTTTTTTTTTTTTTTTTTGCCCTTCTGTAAAGCATCACAATTTAATTTTGCACTTAATTTAATAATCTATGGATGTGGAAGAAAATAAATGATGGGATTTATCCCAAATATCCACCCCTATTGTAATGATGACATTTGAAAATAACAGTTATTTCACCACCATCATCATCACTATATAAGTTTTTTTTTGCACTTCTGTAAAGCATCACTATTTAATTTTGTACATGAGTGGCCAATTTAGTAATCTATGGATGTGGAAGAAAAAGAATGATGGATACTTTTAGATGTTCTTCATTGGGCCCGTGTAGATTGCTGTTTCCTATCTGAGGAGGCTGGCATTACGCTTATACCATTTATGTATTGGTATGTACCTTTGGTATATAGACATAATGGTTTGAATTGTGAAGGCATATCTAAACAAATCCATGCTACTAACTGTAGCACATTCACCTAAGTTTACTAATCAGTTCAGTCTTTGGATTTATCCCAAAGACTCCAACTCTACTGTGTATCATACTTTAAATAAGAGAATTTTTTGTGCAAATGAAATTTTTCTGTTCAGTTTCCTTTCACTATGAATATACACTAGACCAAAAAAAACCCTAGATTAAAATATTAATTAATCATTATAGTCAGGTGAGTCTCTGACGTTCATCATGCATATTTTAATATTTTTAGTTCAAATTATATGGCATATTTAAGGGGTATTTAGTGTAAATAATATTGCATATTTGATGGTGTTTTAGTGCATATCATATGGCATATTTGAAAATTTTTTTGCATATAAACTGCGCTATAATGATGACATTTGAAAATAACAGTTATTTGATCACCATCATCACTATATATATATATATTTTTTTTTTTTGTACTTCTGTAAAGCATCACTATTTAATTTTGTACATGAGTGGCCAATTTAGTAATCTATGGATGTGGAAGAAAATAAATGATGGGATTTATCCCAAATATCCATCCACCCCTATTGTAATGTGTGGTGATAAGTGATCGTTAATCGATATTTATTTAGAAATCGTGAGATGCGGTCTGGTGTGATGTAGGTTTCAGAAAATGTTTTTCTGAAACCTACATCACACCAGACCCTATTGCAATGATGACATTTGAAAATAACAGTTATTTGATCACCATCATCACTATATATATATATATTTTTTTTTTTTGTACTTCTGTAAAGCCTCACTATTTAATTTTGTACATGAGTGGCCAATTTAGTAATCTATCGATGTGGAAGAAAAAAAATGGTGGGTGCTTTTAGATGTTCTTCATTGGGTCTGTATAGATATCTGTGTTTCCTAGCTGAGGAGGCATGTGTTACGCTTATACCTTTGTATACTGGTATATACCATTGGTATATACATAATGGTTTGAATTGTGAAGGCATATCTAACCAATCCGTACTTTTATATGGGATTGCTTAAAAAGATTTGTAACTGGTTGATTCCCGCTATGTTGCACAGGTGGCCCTCTCTACTTCAAAAGGTAAGAAAACTTCATTTCTCAAGACTCAACTACTCAACTAAGTCAGTTGTCCTCTAGGTCCGTCGGGGTGCTTCAGCTTGGAATTTATTGCCTTGATTCCTCTCGTGTCTGAAAAACCTGTTGAATCAGCGGTCTCTCTACAAAGAATATACTGTATTTTCTTTGTTAATTATGATCTAAACTCTAAAACAGATTAACAAAAGGTAATATATATGACTATTTAACTTCAATAACGGTTTTTAAATTGGATTTTTTTTTTTTTTAGATGCGGCCCTTCATCAGCCTTGCCCTATTTATTGCTTCATCTTGCCAGTTTGCCGGCTCGACGACCTACTGTGATGAACCTTTTGAAAAATGCCTATGTGGAGAGATGGAGTATGTCGGCAGGATGCAGTATGTCCTCAACTGCACCGGTCACGGTTTCACCAACGCCTCCATCCTCCAGCATCTTCCTCAGAAGACTCAAGTATACTTTTGACATGATCTTTCTAATTAGTAATTTTTATGTTGAATCGACACATGGCCACTACTGGGTCTGTCTTCACTCACGGGTTTTGGGCAGACAGACCCAGTAGTGGCCATGTGCCGGTTCAACTGTTCACTGACTCGTAGACCAAAACCCATCATCTACTATTGTAATTTTTAATTAATTTTTCTTGGTTTTGTGCTGTTGAATATATGATGTGTTGGTTTAAGTAGTCTCATTTTAAGAATTTCTTTTACAAGACAATTTTTCAACAGTAACTAGTAATTAGAGTTTGTGGTCCGATTAACCAAATAACGTTTTTTAATTAATTAATCTTTATATAAGGCATTGGTTGAGATTAAGATTAAGTAATTAGTAATTTTTAATTAAAATTTTTTTCTTGGTTTTGTCCTGTTGAATATGTCATATGTGTTGGTTTAAGAAGTCTCATTTTAAGGATTTTTTTTTACAAGACAATTTTTCAACAGTAACTAGTAATTCATTAGAGTGATCCGATTGACTGAATAACGTTTTTCAATTAATTAATCTTTATTTAAGAAAAAAGTCAGTGTAACGAGGTTCGAATCCCGCTTGTAACATTGACTTTTTTATCTCAACCAGTGCCTTTTATAAAAATTAAGTAACTAGTAATTTTTAATTTAAATTTTTCTTCATTTTGTCCTGTTGAATATGTCATATATGTTGGTTTAAGTAGTCTCATTTTAAGGATTTCTTTTACAAGACAATTTTTCAACAGTAACTAGTAATTAGAGTTCGTGGTCCGATTGACTGAAATAACGTTTTTCAATTAATTAATCTTTATTTAAGGCATTGGTTGAGATAAAAAAGTCAGTGTCACGAGGTTCGAATCCCGCTTGTAACATTGACTTTTTTATCTCAACCAGTGCCTTACATAAAGATTAAGTAACTAGTAATTTTTAATTATTTAATTAAAAAATTTTCTTGGTTTTGTCCTGTTGAATATATGTCATATGTGTTGGTTTATGTAGTCTCATTTTAAGGATTTTTTTTTACAAGGCAATTTTTCAACAGTAACTAGTCATTCATTAGAGTTCGTGGTCCGATTGACCGAATAACGTCTTTAAATTAATTAATCTTTATTTAAGGCATTCGGCAGAGCGGGATTCGAACCTCATGACACTGACTTTTTTATCTCAACCAGTGCCTTACATAAAGATTAAGTAACTAGTAATTTATTAGAGTTCGGGGTCCGATTGACCGAATAACGTTTTTCAATTAATTAATCTTTATTTAAGGCATTGGTTGAGATAAAAAGATGAAGTAACTAGTAATTTTTAATTAAAATTTTTCTTGGTTTTGTCCTGTTGAATATGTCATATGTGTTGGTTTAGGCAGTCTCATTTTGAGGAGTTTTTTTTTTTTTTACAAGACAGTTTTTCATCAGTAGTTTTATATCTTGATTTGTCTATTTCTTTATGTATGTACTATGTTTTTAGCATATATTAATGTGTGCGGGCTAAGATCATTGAAATGTAAAATGTATCACAACCCCAATCTATTTAATCAACTATTGAGTACATGGTATCGCTCTGCTACCAATTATTCAGAAATCATGAGATGCACGATGCAAACACAAACACAAAAATTTAGTTGGTCAGAACAGAATCAAAAGGAACTTAAAATCGAGCCAAATGCAAAGTAATAATCTGAACATTAATGAATTATGGGAAGAGTGAGGTTGTTTTAGCTTGCACAATTTGGATAATTTGGGTTTAATTTTTGATAGCTGAAGATGAAATTGAAAGAAATGAAGCTTGGAGAGAAGTGGCAAATGTTATACAAATTTCAACAGAAACCAAAACAAACAGAATAGCAAGTAGAAGCCCTCCTGATTTCTTGTGTTCTAAATCGTACTGAATGTTAGGAAGAGAAATTGATTCTACTTGTTGCCTAGTGTGAAACGAGCCAAAAGAAGTCTTTATATAGCAGTAACTTGTTCAAAGTCAACCAGGCAACTCAGTTGATCAACTGAGAGGGCTGGTTTTCTTCAATTACTCGCAACAGAACATGAGGCCCCAAAAATTTTCTTTTCTAATCCTCCAAAACTGACTTTAAATTTCTTATAAATAAATAAAACTTTGTGGACTGGAAACGCAGGGCATCAATTACCTTAATGGCTTAACTACCTTTTTTGAAAGTAATATAACTATAAATAGATCTGTTTTATTTTGGTAGTGGCATATTTGCAGAAAACTAATAGACAGTTTTTAAAGGTAAAGGTGAAGACATTTCAAGTGAATTTCTATTTGGTTTCATTGTGGTCTTTGTTAGAAAAAGTAAATATAAAATTCATTCTAAGGCTTCGTGCACATTAGTCATGCCTCATTAAGTAATTTTGATTTGGGATAGGAGAATAGGTTGAACATTCCAGAGGTAACATTGTGAATCGAACCCAGGACTGCAGGTTTTCAAGCTGAGAGTTTAACGCTTAAAAAAAAATGTTTCTGGGATTTCCAAATAAATAATTTTATTATTATCAATTGTCAATACTTTACACAACAGTCTAATCGGTATAAAAACATAATTATAAAATCACAACCCAAGCATGATTCATCTTTTTTTCTCTCTCTCTTGACTAACTGATAAATTTGTAAAAATAAAACAACAGATTCTTTGATCGTGTGAAAAAGGTTTTTGTTAGTCGTATAAATTTTGTTTGTACCATCGAGGAATAGAACAGAATATAATTCTACTCAGAAAAAGTGCCTTTTTACTTTAGACCGAATAAAAGTTATTTTACATTTTCCTTGATACTTGAATAAAATACATCAAATGAATTTTGGCAATTTTTGTTCTCACTAATAATTTTATTTAAGAAATTGTGCCCATGTTGCAATTTTGAAGAATCTGTGAAGGTCACAAGATGATTAGTTTTGATAGATTGATGGTCAAGAGGATTGACGGGAAAACAATTGAATATACTGATTATTTTACCATTACAAACTATATAAATGGGGCCTTGGTGGCCGCAACGGTTTAGGCGTTGACACAGCGCTCAACACTGTAAAGTGCAGTAGCCCTGCATTCAAACCCGACATATTTACAAATAGCCTTCCCCCCCCCAAAAAAAAAAAAAAAAAAAATTCTAGCTTCCCGAGAATTACAAAAAAAACTAGATAAATCTAAAAACTGACCAATCACCTTAATTTTTTAATCTAGCAGTGTTATAATCAATGAAAGCCAACCAATAAAATGGGCTTTAATGTATAAATTTAAAGATTTATAATATAGTTTATATATCTATATGGTTATATAGATATATAAAAAATAAAAAATCAAACTAAATAAACACGAATGCTTTAAAATATATAGGGTCCATTAATGGCAAAGCTATTAATTTATTTTAGCTGCATGAATTATTTTGTATAGAATATTTGCCCATTATATAGCCAATAATTTTTTTTAATGGTTAAAATAGATTTACAAGAATATCTTTATTTAATAACGCTGGCTATTCTGTTTATGCATTTGATCTAATTCTACATCATCAAATTCCATTTGTGGTAAGGGATAAATAAATTGATGATGAAGCATAAACAAAGTTTATGTTTTCAAAGGGAACTGTTGATATGAGAAAAACAGTGATTGTTCATACATCTCACTTTATGCATCAGCTAAGAAGAAAGAAAAACTAATATCATGAAGATTCAATAGCCAACAGCATGATTTTGTCTATTTTAAAAAACCTTTTAAACAGATTTAATTTTTTCAATGTGAAATTATTTTTAAATTTGTATAACAATAATTTATACAATACACAATTTGTTGTTTATTTAGTAAAAATTGTTGTCTGTACATTGTCACTAAATATACATTACTTATGCCACTTTGAATATTACTACAATTGAATATTACAATTCTGAAAAATTTGAATTGAAATATCTCAATGGCAACACACTTAAATTGGTAAATGTTATCCTTGTTTAAAATAATTAGAAGGCCATGATTTCTGTAATTATTAGGGTCTCTTATTTGCCAAATAGCAAAAGTGGGTTCAAATCCTAGCTTTACCATTGAAATTTTCCCGTTTAAAGCTTAGCTAATGCTGAAAACATCCAAAAAATAAAATAAATAATATCAAATATGCTTAAACTATAATGTGTGGTGTTTAGTGATCGTTATTTTTATGTCATGATGAAAAAAAGATACTCCGCTTTGTGATGTTTGCACAGAAAGAATAACAGTTAAGCACATTTTGACAAATTGCAAAAAATATGAAGGAGAAAATTCCAACAACCAAAATATGGCTGGAAATTCCAACCAACATCAGACTCGCTTGGTGATGACTCCGACCAAATAGACAACTAGTAACTTTCCTTAAAAAAACTAAACTAATTTCAGAAATATGAAGATAAAATGATATAATAATTTAATAAAAAAGAACATTCATTTTATGCAATAATCTGTATTTCACTCAATGTTGAGAGGTGTATTTGGATGCGGTTTGGTGCCCATTGGGTGTGGTTGTGAAAGGGTTTCCAGGGCGCGTGATACTGCCGGGGCCCTGGTTTCCGCTATTGGGGGTTCCTGAGCTGTGGCCCACTCAACACCCAGCTTGAGAGTTTTTTAAGGCGGAAAATGACCCAAAGCGGTTGATCGCCTTTCATATTAATAAAAAAATAATAATAAAAAAAATGTGATCATTAGCCAATGATTATTTGAAGATCGTGAGATGCGGTCTGGTGTGACATAGGTTTTAGAAAAAGATTTTTTTTATCATGCCAACGTTTTGATCTTTATTTGAGATCATCTTCAGGACTCAAATTTCCATGTAGATGTGTCATTATTGTGTGCCATGTTGAGGGTCCCGAGGGTATACTTACTTACTTTTTCATTTGCAGATAATCAAGTCAATTCCATTTTATGAAAGAAATGGCAAAAGTAATTTGAAAATCGGTTCGGAAAAATCCACACATTAGATATCCAATGTGTAATATTTAGTGATTTTGAAGTAATAATTATTTAGAGATCGTGAGATGCGGTCTGGTGTGATGTAGGTTTAGAAAAACATTTTCTTTATTGTGCCAACATTTCACCTTTTATTGAGATCATGTTGACGGCCTTGGATTTATAAACATAGTCATATCTTATATGTATTTACATAATTTAAACAATGGGCAATTAAACGCTGGCACGATAAAGAAAATGTTTTTCTAAAACCTACGTCGCACCAGACTACATCTCACGATGTCCAAATAATCATTAAACTGTAATAATGTTTCATCCATTATAAAATAGATCTATGTTATCGGTGTACTGTCCATCCTTTATCCTTTTGCGCAATGGAACATGCCTTGGGTTTGTAGAATTTTTATCTGAATTGAACATAATTAACACGTGGTGATTAGTGACCGTTAATCGATATTTATTTAGAAATCGTGAGATGCGGTCTGGTGTGATGTAGGTTTCAGAAAAACATTTTCTTTATCGTGCCAACGTTTCGATCTTTATTAGAGATCATCTTCAGGGCTCAAAGTGTTTGTTTTCTGTGTAATTGTGCCATTCTTGCATGTCGTGTTGAGAGGGCAAGAACATCTTAATAAAGATCGAAATGTTGCACGATAAAGAAAATGTTTTTCTTAAACCTACATCACACCAGACTGCATCTCACGATTTCTAAATAAATAATTAACACAATTGTACTGGGGTTTTACTCATGTTGCATAGATTATTTTTCAGGTTACTCGTTAAATTTTAAATTGTTAACCTTTCTAATAGAATCCTCAAAGCCAACAGAGATTCTTTAAATTCGAGACTATTTTTCCACACAAACCATGATTATAAAAATTACTAAAATTTTAAGTCAAGAAATGTTTGAGTTAGTTAAAATAAGTTTTTAGCCGTGAGCTTTTTTTTTTAATATAAGGACCAAACACACCATAATTTTTAATTGTCATTCCTTATAAATTTTAAATTTTGTTATTCACATATTACTGAAATAAAAAAATAATACATGCTTAACGTATTTTTTAGTTGTTTTTTTTTAAACACTTTTTGGTGTGATAGTTTTGTGACTCCTCCACCTTCTTCGATTATTACTTAATCTAATCAAATATTCTGTTAGGAATACTGTTTGTTTTCAGTATTAGAAGTAACACTTTTTCACTTACAAACATCCTTGATCAAAGTATGGTCTTGAAGAAGAAGGAAGTAAATTTTGTTGCTAATGCCAGCTTTCGACCTATTTTAAGGTCATCCAGGCAAAACAACCTTAAATATGTCTACAGATTGAGTGTAAAATCACTCCTTCGCAATATTGGGCCTGAATCGGACTTCAAGAAAATTTGAGATCGCCTGGAGGAAAAAAACTTAAATAAAATAATCTTAAATAAAAATCAGTCAATCTGTAAACATATTTAAAGTTGTTTTTCCCTGATGATGACCTTAAAATAGGTCGAAAGCTTGGCAGTAGCAAGTAAATTTGCTTTCTTCTTCTTGAAGACCGTACCTTGATCCAAAGTGTTCGTAAAGGAATACTGTTGTACAAGTTTTGGATTGTTTCCAGCAAAATATCTTGCTATACCTTCATAATCAACCCTCTCATTTCTGGATACTCGAAAACTGCCTGGCACTCCAGTACCCCTTACTAAAAAAGTATGTCCCAGTGTTTTTTCACTGTATGTTGAGATCAGATGAAAGTGCTGGACATTTCATGTTTTCAATATTTTTCTCAAACCATTCCTTTAATATCTTAGCATTGTAGATTAGGGCATTATCATGTTGAAACATTGGAATTCCTTCACCGAAATCATTAAATATAAATTTTCATTCTCAAACAATTCTCATCATCATTCAAAGCAAAGGAGGATTTCTTGGGCAAGGCGGTTTTTTTTAAAGCATACTCAGGCCCAAATTGAAATAATAAGAAATTCCATCTGGTTCATCAAGATGAACTCTCGTCTGAAAAAATCTCTCTTTTTCGTCGGCTTGCCAAAAGTTCATTAGCAAAAGTCAATCTGGCAAGTTTGTGTCATGGTAAGAGGACCGGTTTTCTTATCATTTTCTTTCTCTTGATGGATTCTGATGCTTCCAAAAGTCGCTGAACATTTCATACATTGGTCTTTACACCTGCCATCATAGCGATTTGTCTTGATGTTAATGTGGAATTTGATGCAGCAGCTGATTGTGTCATCCTGTTGTCCTTCGTTGACCATAATTGCCCTATTCTTATAAATTTAACTACCGATGAGAAATTACGATGCAGCCAAAATGAAAAAACCTATTAGATTCTTTCCACCGTAAGAATGGCCAGTTCATTTTATTAATTTCTCATTACAATATGAGTAGAAACAGATTCTAAAGTGGCCCATAGATGATCAATATTATTGCACAATATTTTGGGTTGTGCAATACATTGCATGATTGACGAAAAGTTGAAAATATATTGTACAACCTGGAAAATATTGCACCATCTGTTGGCATTATTGCGCAATATCACCAAGTGGAAAATATTGCACAAACTTCAATATCGCCTTCAAACTATTCAAGATCATTGCACAAACAAAATTTTATACAATATTATAGAACGTTAAGGGGCAACCGTCAAATTATTGTGCAATCTATATTGTACAATAATATTGACTGTCTATGGGCCGCTTTAGAAAATGTCCTAAGATAAAAAATGTTTAATAATTAGAAAAAGATGATCCTGGAATTACTTTTGTTTGTGTGTTCATATCTTTCTCTTGTTTGTTTGTAGTTAAGTTAACAAATGTATAAAAAATTCTAATGTGTTTGTTTTAATTTATCAGGTCTTAATTTTTGTTGGAAACAACATCCCAAAACTTCCTAGAAACTTACTTGGCACTACGAATAACAATTCCCAGTTGCGTGTCATTGACATGTCGAATAACAAGATTGAAGATATCCTTGGTCAGACTTTCCACCACGTTCCACGGGTCGAGAGGCTTATATTGAACCACAACGAAATATCTATTTCTTTCGATCAACATCATCCGAGGTAGGCTTGAAATATCAAGTGTCATAAATATATGTATTAGTCAGGGTGTGCATTGTACAGCGCCTTTTAAGAGCTATTTTAACCATCAAGAATCTAAACATATAACAATTTTTTCCCCCAGGGTATTCTCAAACTTTCAGAGCCTATTGGAGTTACACTTGACCAACGCCTTTGCTGACAATACACCAGATGACCTCGCTATCGACCTCCACGACATCTTCAACACAAGTGGTTTGACAAAACTAAGAAAACTACACTTAGAAGACAATGAAATTAAAAAATTCAAGGATCCAAAAATATTTTGCGAGCTGAACAGCCTCATGGACTTACATTTAGGTATGTATATTTTCTACAAATTAGTTAAAGGTAAAAATTCAAAAGATAGTTTAACCAAAAGCAACTTTTTTTTCCTAGGAAATAATAAACTTCAACATGTTAACTTCAAGTTTGACTGCCTGCAACATTTGAGATTGATCGATTTGGAGCGTAATTCTATAAGCTACTTTAAGCCCGAGGAGCTTGAAAGCTTTGACCAGATGGCCAAAAAACAGGATCGTTTTGTTCTCGATTTTTCTGACAACCCTTTGATATGCGGGCAAAAAACAGACGATTTGTATGCATGGCTGCAGAAAACCCAAGCCGAAGTGAGGAACAAAGAGAGGCTTAGGTGTAAACCATCATGCCCGAAAGAATTTGAAAAGACCGTTCTGTTGTCGGAACACCGCAAGCTGTCAATCTGTCCACACCTACTTAAGGCAGAAGAGGGCTATTCTTCAAGTACGGTCTTCCTTTTGTCCCTTGCCCTTGTGTTATGCCTTTCCTTGTTGATTTACACAAACAGAACTCCTTTAAAAGCCACTCTATTTCCAATAATACAGAATCTTTCAAGAAAGGTTCACTATACTAATATAGGAAAGCCAGAAGCACAAGAAATGGATGTTTAAAATGCTTTAAAGATTTTTTTAAAAGTAGCACGAGACAAAAGCTTTTATACAAACTATTCACCGTGCCAAAAAATTGTTATTCTTTGATAAGAAGTTAAATTATAAGCACAAATTAATGACTAACTAGAAATAACTAAAATTTATGTTAAAAGTTAAATTTAATATTGTTAAAAATGTTATAATTCTGATAATTTATTAAGTTAGACTGAAAAAAATTATGCAATTAATGATCTTTTTATGTACTTAAAAAATAATTATTTACTTAAGTTGTTCTTCTTAATTGTAAGTTCATGTCTTTCTCATAATGGTGAAGTACATAAGTAGACAATCTAGTGAGAATTGTAATCTTCTTTATCGACAGGATGAAAAACATATCTAATTATGAAAATGAAGTGATTAATATTATTCTGTGGTTTTTATACAATTGAAGTTTTAAAAAAAGTTTATATATTTTTCTAGTCAAAATCCTTCCAATCTGTATGTATTTTTGCAGGATTTTTTCTAATTTAGATAAATGTTTTACTGCTGAAATATTTTTTACATGCGTTAACTTTTTGTAGGATTTAAAAATATATATTTTGCTAGGGATAGCGTTATGATACATTGATAATTTGTAACAATTTATTCATTAATAAATTTAGAAAATAAATGCCATTTATTTTAAATCGGCCTTTTTTTATACGTAAACTTCATTTATGTTATCCAAGCATGATACACTGAATATGAAGAACGTATTTTATCCATAAAATTAAACTTGCAAGATGGTTTATTGATTGTTAGGGCTTATCTTGATAAATCTCCAACTTTTTGGGGAAAATAACTTTCATGGTTGAATAAAATATATAACTACTATCCTTTGGGAGTGCCACAAGGCAGTGTGCTTGGACCATTCCTATACCTCCTTCACATATCACTAACTACTATCCTTTGGGAGTGCCACAAGGCAGTGTGCTTGGACCACTCCTATACCTCTTTTACAACAAAGACTCCCAACTATATCTTTCTACCCTCCTCAGATCCTTTGCAGACCACAGCCGTGCTTTCCTCTGATCCTATTCTGCAATCGCCTCCAAGGAGCTCCAAGCACGTATCGAACGAACAGCCGAATGGAGCAAATTTTGTAGGATATAAATCAACGAATATTTACTCTTAGAAGCAAAACTCTTTAACACAATATTCCTCAACAACATTTCTATCCCTAAAACCGACTATGTACGCTACCTTGGGTTCTTTCTTCACACTCACTTAACCTGGAACCAACACATACAATAAAAAGACAGGTTCTGAACAAGACACTTTGGATTTCTCTTTAAACTACTTGGACGGAAATCTAACATGTTGACAAAAAAATTAACAATACAACATTAAACAATACTAAAACTGATTTGGACATATTCACGGACTAAAATTGTGGACCACTAAACCTTCCAACAACCAATTAATTCAGTCCTTCCAATCCGAAATCCTCAGAATCAGTCAACGCTCCCTATTATGCCTCCAATACCACCCTCCACAGCGACCTAAAAATTCTTCGCAAATAAATTTTCCACATTCTAATAAAAAACTCCTAACAAATTAGACCAAACTCATCCCTACAACACAGTAAGACGATTGAAGTGAAAATGGCCCTGGGACCTCCTCATGAATAGTTATAAAAAACTATTCACAGAGCTGGGAGAGCAACAATAGTTGTTGGCTCTCCTCAGGATATATGAAAATGATAAATATTATACCACATTACATAATGTATATATTTGTACAGAAGGTAATATATATTTAAAAAAGGTAATAACAGCAGAGTAAAGGAGATAGTACTTTTGTATTTGTAGTATTATCTAATTTTTTTTCATAAAATTTAACAGTGCTTACAGTATAAACAAGTTGATGTCTCCATAATTTGGAACTGTGGTCTTGTAACCCTGAATCCTAGGGGAGCGACAGAAGCAACCACATTAAGTAAATGTTTATACGTGTGGAAAAAACTGACAAAACAATTAATACAATAATAAATATTACCTAAATCACAAACCTAATCTTGGAAAGGGCTGTACTTTCAAATCAATGGAGAACTACAAGGGACAAAAATTGTCAATGCAGGTTTACCACAGGGAACAGTACTAGCCCAATATTGTTCTCCCTTTACACAGCGTCCATCAAGTCGTTAGTCTCTGAGGAGATCAAAATATCCCAGTTTGCTGATGATTTCTCTTTTTATAGTAGCGATAATAATTTAGATGTAGCTGACAATAAAATGACATCAGTTGTATGACAGTTCCAGGATTGGGCCTCTGGAGCCTGCAGTGTCCAGTCAACAGTCTAACTATTATTCTAGTCCTAGCACTAGATTTAGTATGCCATTAGTTTCTGCAATGGTCCTTTGAAACATTTTTAACCCATTGTCTCATAAATTGTGTTTTTTTGGCAGTTTGGTATGCCACATAAGGGTTCAGGGCCAATAGGTAACTTTCCTTGGCCAATTGTCCCTGAACCCTTTTGTGGCATACCAAACTGCCAAAAAACGTGATTTATGAGACAATGAATTAAAAAAGTGTTTCAAATGAATGATGCTGAATAATTCCACATTTTAAATTCCACAATTAAAAAAAAAAAATGCATACCTGTACAATGGACAATATGGTGTTGAAAAAATAATAAAACCAATGTTTTTGGTATTGTTCTTGCTCAGTGATGATTTATATTTGGGAAGTATTGTACTTGCGGCCAAACACTTGAAGCATACTTGGACATTAAGCCTGCATATTTTTACCATAAAAATTTTTTTATTCTGTTAACCTAATGTACATTTTTTTACATAACACAATTTACAAAATTGAAACTATATTGTCAACAATAAATAGATTTAATAAAAAATAAACCACTACTATTTTATAACAAAGAGAAAAAAAGAGATTATTTTCCTTTCTTCTTCTTCTTTTTTTTAATTACAAACAAGTGATTTCAATTCTAAAACTTTCACAACCAAAACATTGTTTTTAGGAGAAAAAAAAAGAATACTTAAAAAATAGAACATAACCGAAAACTTTAGGAAATAATCGAAAAAAAATTACTGGATTGAAAAATACTTGATTTAAATTTTTTACATTATAAAAGTAAAATTAGATCATTTAAAACTTTACAATTATACATTTGTTTGTTTATCACAGATCTTCTAGTTGCATTTGATGTGTTCATTTTATCATTATGTATTATTTTTATTATTTCAAATTATTATTATTGGAAAGTGATTTAAATGTAAACTAATGACTATAAATGCAACTATTTCCATTTATATACAGAGTATTTTCACTGAGATACACACACAAAATAAATATTTAAAAAAAAAAATGGAGCTATTTTAAGTTTATACCTGTCTTAAATGGAATTTCAATTTGTTAATCAAGGCGACAAATAGAACAAACGTGGTAACCCAAACCCCGAAGGAAACTCGTTTCCACCATTGAAAAGTAAAATGTTATATACATACCAAATGTTATCTAGAGTCTTCAATCTGACTGAAAATATCCCTTGGAATCAATTTCTTATTATTTTATCAAATTAAATTATTATCTTCTAAATAATTTTTTTTTTCAAATGAAATTATAAAATAAGTTTTAACTATGCCATATAAATAAATGTATTGATGTCGTCTTCATCTCTTCTCATATATTTATGTTCGATTAACCATTCAATTTGTTCTTTTATCATTTTCTTACTAGGAAGAAACATGTTCTTGAGAATGTCGATGAGTTCGGATTGCAGTTGAGCATTGCTTATTCTCTTCCTCATCTTTAATATTTTTATTATTGCTTCCTAGGATGGGATAGAAGATTTGTTTTAATAATCTGAAATACGACTTAAGTTTTATAATCTACCTGAACTCGTAAAATCCTCAACTGTACAATGCTTTCATTGTCTTCTTCCTTACTTCTCTCCGTCGACAACTGAAGCCTGCCTACTAAATTTATTTTTCCTCTTTTCTGAAGTTTACCATTTTTTCTGTAAAATAAAATAAACGATAAAGAACAGAACTAGATGGGGAAAAAATGAGACTAAGAAAAAAAAATTACACTAAAGCGAATTCTTGATTGATCCAGAACACAGTATTCTCGTCAAAATCTTTAGGAGATTGGACTTCAGGTTGAAACATAACAACTTGTCGTTTCAGCTTTGGAAATGCTACTAATGACTAAAATAAAAAATACAATTAAAAATAACTAATTCAATGTACTAAATTTTTAATTATTTCAATTTAGACTAACCCAAAGCGTTCTACGTAGTTCAGGATCTGGAAGCTCTGTCGCAAGCCTTAAATTTTCATACGAGATTCTATCTAAAGGCCTTTGGTTCCAAGCGAAGAGCACAGCCATTTGAAAAGTAGTCACATCGACATCATATCGACCAATTGCATTTGAAAATGTTATCTGCAAAACAAAAATTAAACTGTTAATTAATTTTTTTTTTTAAATTCTACTTTGAAACAGTATGTTAACCATTTCTCGAATTCTTTTTCCTTATCATTACATTCTTCTTGAGATTGGTCTCATTTTATTCACAGCTTTCTTCTGAACATGTTTAATATAGGTTTGAACGAAAATAGTTATTTTAAAAACTGTTCAGTATTAATAAACTGTATGAAAATTCATTTAAAAAAATTGCCTGAATTGATGTTCCTTGATCTCAACAAGAACAATTTGACTTATTAATTTTCTTTAATGGATTATTATTTTTTTTTTTTTTAATGAGGGTTCGCAACAGCAGAAGTTATATCAACCCTTGGGGTGCCGGTGTTTTTGAAAAAAAAAGCCCATTTGTAAGTATGTCAGGTTCGAATGCAGGGCCGCTGCATTCGAACCCGGGACCTTTACCTTACAGTGATGAGCGCCGTGTCAACACTTAAACCGTTGCGGCCACCGACGCCCCTAGGAAATTGGGTTACTAATTTTTTACATGAAACTGACCATTAGAAATCTGCCCCTAATTATCATCATTCAAATTGTTCATTTCGTCAAAATTTTAATTTAGAAAAATAAGCCATTCAAAATATTGAACAGAATCTAAGCAAAAGGAACATGAAGTTAAAAACTTGACTTTTCACCAGAGATTTTTGTTTTACCTTAGGCTACTTTATGATTTGATTTTCAGCTTTTTGTGACATATTGTTTGATTTTTTGTTTGATTGAATTTCGTTGAAGCCACACTTCTGGTGCTCAAAAGTTCAAAATTTAATTACATACCAAACAATACACACAAAAAAGTCTAGCTTAATTTTTTAAGAATTAAAATTTTTGGTTTTTGGTCAAAATTTTCTAATTTTTTTTGGGCACTTCCAATGCTCAAAATTGAAAATCTTTTACAATAAATGATGCAGGAAAAAATCTACGTTAATTTAAACAAAAAGAAAGACTTTAATGCCAAGATTGGTTGACCCCAATCAATATTTGTCTAGTTGATGATACAAAACAAGCTACTAAAACTATAGACATAAATTTTTTTGTAATATTTAAAATTTTTACTAACAGTGCCGTTAGACATATGGTGATACCACTGGAGTTTTCTTCCGCTGTGTTTCTTTTTGTAGAAATCCTCTACTTCTGGTATGTAGTCTTCTAATTCCAAAGGCAACGAGACCGTTACCCTTTCACTCCCACGAGCCCATGCACCGGCATTTAAAATTTTAATGTTTATTGATTCTACAAACATAATTGCATGTTATTTATGTTTAAAAAAGTAATTGTATCATGACATACCTGCTATACTGCCTTTGCTTGTCCTATATTCTTCTTTAAACTGTTGATTTAAGTCTTCGCTCACTTTTATATCTTGGAACATCCTTGCTAGTTTATTTACATAATCTGCCGGCATACCTACTTCCCTGAGCCTGAAATGCCAATGGATTAATTAACTTAAAACCGTTTAAGCAAATTTAATTCAAAACTTACCACTCGACCATATTTTCTTCTTTTTCAGAATCAGCCGACGTGTCTAGAATAAGGCGCCTTGTCAAATGTGCTTTGTGAAACCTCATGAAGACATCTTTGTTTTGAACATATTTTAAAACCAAAAGCTGAAAGGCATTTAAAATGAAAAAGAAAAATCCAAAACAATCGTTCAGTATTGCAAAATTAAGACTTACCACATCTTTTAATTTGGACTCAATTTGATCAGATGTCAGCCGTTTGCTCAATGGTGTTTTCCTAAGTAACATATCACAGTAATTTGCTAAGAGTTCTGGACATTTTGACTCGGGTTGACTTTTAACTCCACCACTCTGTTTAAAAATAAATAAATTAAATAAAACTATATAAGTGATACATTTTATACAATTAAATGTAAATAAGGTTTTTAAGTTGAGATAAAAAAATCAGTGTCATGAGCGGGATTCGAACCCACAAATTTCGACATCACGATAGCTCAAGTGGTAGAGTAGCGGCGTATCAAGCCGAAGGTCGTGGGTTTGAATCCCACTCGTGACACTGACTTTTTATCTCAACTTAAAAACCTTAATTAATTGAATGTCATTAATTGGTCAAGCAGACCACGAAAAATAGTGAATTTAATTAAATTTAAAATTTAGACGAGTGAAGAAAAGAAGTGAGGAGAGGAGAGAAGAGAAGAGAAGAAAAAAGAAAGAAAGAGAGAGAGAGAGAGAGAGAGATTTGGAAAATTTCTTGGAATCTAAAAGTTATTAATTTATTTGGCAATTATTATTTATTTAATATATAAATAAAATATTACAAAAATTAAAACTTGCTTTAACACGTTCAGTGCAGCTGACCTTCATGGGAGCCATAGTGTTCCAACCAGCCAGACGGTTGACCTACAGTAGGCCATAATACATAAGAAAATTAATTATTAAAAAAAAATTGTCGTCCGGGAGGGTGAAAATTGAATTTCCAGCCAGCATTGAACGTGTTAAAAGATATTCAGTTAAATAGGATTTAGCATGATGTACTCTTCATTATTATGAAATTAATGTTACCAGCCTTATATTTCACAAAAAAAGTAAATCGAAATAATACCTGCTTGACAGGCAGTTCTAATCTGAACACTGTCGTATCGTTTACGACTTGTTTGTACGCTTTATCCCTGGCAGTCAAGAACCGTGGGTCATCATTGAAGGCATCTCGGACTAAAGTACTAAACTGGTTAAACAATGCTAACAACCTTTCAACATATTTTTCTGAATCCTGAAATCATATGAGTGTAAAATTTAGACGAGGACAAGATTTTTTTTTTTCCACCTTTATGTTATCACACCTGGGTTATAATATCGGCTGAAGCTACCATATCAGCAAGGCCTGCATGGATTATATGGTCCTCTAGGTTTTTTAACATAGGAGCTATCCCATCAGTGACACGGTCCATTAATTTAAACATGAGTTGCAATTCTAAAAATGTGGGTAAAAGTTACAATTGGTTTAAAATCATTGCTTCATGGACTGTGATGTACTTTCTGTTTCATTAGCTTTTATCATATCAGCACATTCTGACAGAATTGTATTTCGGAACGTTGATACCAAAACATTAACACAGCAGTCCGTTAGCTGAAAATAAATAATTGTTACTGAATAAAAAAGTAGGAAATCGTAGCATCGCGATTCATACCACTTGAACTGAGCCGCTACACGGTTCTAAATACTTTTGAGCTCGCAATTCCTCCTCTCTCAATTTGGCATCAGCATATCGCATATAATTCTGAACTCCGTTCGCTTGTAGATACTGGGGAGCTTTAACTTTATAAAAACTTTCTGTCGCATCTATATAAGCTCTTTCAAAATTCTCTCTATATATCTGTAGTTTATCCATAGGGTATGAGCATAAATTAACTAAAAGTAAAGGTGGTCAGCATGAGTTATTTTAAAAATAAATAAATCATTATTTAACGTTTGTTTATATCACCATAAGATTCTCTAACACCAATAACAAGCTGGGAATCAAAAGCTTCCCCATTTCTTTCAGCGTGGACTAGTTTCATAGCAGAATCCTGCAATCGTTGTTTTATATCGTTGAATATACTTTGATTCCAACTATCCAGCATTAACTATAATTAAAAAAAAGGAATAAATTCATAAGTTTTTAAACTAAAATAATAAATTAAGTAATAAAAATAAATCACCTTTCGTACGATACTTTCTTCATTTTGAGGAGTTTTATTAACATAAGTTATAGTTTTTCCAGCTAAAGAAGTTTCTAGTTGGCGAAAAGGCGTTGGTAGGTAATCGCACTGTGTAAAAAACTTGCGCCATTCTGCGATATAAGCTTTTAAGAGGGCTTGATCCTCTTGATGCGACAATACCCTCTGTAAAGGTAGACATATAAGAAAATATTACATATATACGTATAAAAAAATTAAACAAATTTAACAGCAATAGATACTTCACCTGTTGCGCTCTTTTTATAAAATCTAGTATATCATCTTTTAACGCATCCTTGACTTTGGGAGGGCCCTTCTCGTCCCAGAGACAGACGACATGGACTGAGTAGAAGATCCCGTGCCATTCGTTTTGCGTGACTGGCTCCTGCTGCAACAGCTTCAGTATGATTGGCCGCATAGAAGGCCATTGATCCTCAAATGTCAGCTGTCCTTTGTCCTGAAACAAATCACCATTGGAACATTGGAATTTGAGTGGTGATTAGTGACCGTTAGTCGATAATTATTCAGAAATCGTGAGATGCGGTCTGGTGTGATGAAGGTTTCAAAAAAACATTTTCTTTATCGTGCCAACGTTTCGAACTTTATTGAGATCATCTTCAGGGCCTGGGATTTACAAACATTGTTTAAATTTAACAAATACCTGTAGGATGTGGAAAAAAGTGAATTTATACAATGCAAAAAATATATATTTTTTATATTCAATCAAAGTATTTGTACTCGCTCAAAGTGTGTTTTCTGCGTAAATGTGCTATTCTTGTGTGTCACTGGCACTCTCAACACGACACGCAAGAATGGCACAATTACACAGAAAACAAACACTTTGAATGAGTACAAATACTTTGATTGAATATATATAAAAAAAATTTTTTTTTTGCATTGTATAAATTCACTTTTCTCCACATCCTACATGCATTTGTTGATGATTTCAATAAAGATCGAAACGTTGGCACGATAAAGAAAATGTTTTTCTGAAACCTACATCACACCAGACCACATCTCACAATTTCTGAATAATTATTGGAATTTGAGTACCTGTTATTTTAAAAATATGTAAAAAAATAATAATCGAATAATTGTGGAGCAGGGTGCTGAATTCAGTCACCACTTTGGAACAGGTTATAGGAAATTTAAACACCAAAATTATCATTATATACCAATTAAGTTTAAAAATAATTATTTACACTAAGCTATTGTTGATTTCGGGCCAGGGCCTCCTAGGTTGAAACTGATATGATAATAACAGCTTCCTCCTTCATGATAGATTTAATTATTACAATTAAATTTTTAATCAGGATCAATATACAGCTTATATAGTTTGGTTGAAGGCACCACACAAGGATGCTTAAGGCTCTAAGCAACTGAGATACTCGATGACCCAGAAACCTGTCATGCATAATTAGGTGGTGTCACTCAGATGGGGGTAGGTACTTTAGTGGTAGCCACGTATGTTCTGACATGTCGGTCTCCAAGTCTTCCATTCTCTCAGTTATATTCATACCATTAATGGAATGAATGAACAAGTGTTCTCAATTTAAAATTTGAGGCAGAATCAGAGAAATTTTCAGTATTGTACACAAGTTGATATAAATTTTTTTTTAGCGATTTCAATGTACAGATGTACCCGCAACTTTTCTTGTTCTGTACCAGTGATAAAATAATACTGAATTATATCATAACTATTAAATTCACTAGACACTGCAAGGGGTTGAGTAGACTAGCGCACTAGAAATGTACTTTCCCAACAGCCAATATAATAAATTGTTTAATTTTCGATGCTAATCACAACCAACTTGGCAATACGAGCTACTTGAGTTGTGACTGTATAAAGGTGAAGGGCTACTTAAGTCCCCAGGGGCCAGGCAGTCAAAGGCAAAAGGCCAGATCTGCAGGCCTTTTTAGCAATTAGAATGGGTGGGTATGACTAGTCTATAATATTTGATCTTTACAGTCGGATATACCAGAATTTGTTTAGGTTGGTATTCAGTTGCTGGTTTGCAAGTGAGAAAGAAACGTGAAGATAATGATTGAGTTATGATTTAAAAATAAATAACTCATACAGTACAATGATGTTTGTGAAGATCAATATTCGTCAAAGTCTTTCATTTGTTACAAGATCTTCTCCACTTTGCCCTTGAAATTTTTCAACCGTTTATCAAATTCTATCTGTTAGTGACTGTGGAAACACTGATATCATTAAATTAAAAAAAAGAAAAAAAAATATGGCAGACTAAATTGGCAAGGATAAGAAGCCTAGGACGATCTGAGGCAACTAAAATGCGTTCATCATCTCACACACCTCAACAAAATATATTTTTTATTGTTAAGGCGTTGACACGACGACTTATCACTGCTTGGATCATGACTAACAAAAATGAAAGGAATGGCAGAAAATTCTCTTTATTAAGGTATATCTATAGTTATACATGAGATTTCCTCTTGGAGTCTGATGATTCTGTAGTTTGGCCATTTCCAATTATCTTAGACTTCTTATCCCATAACTTTATCTGTCAGGTGGCATTTTCCCACAATCTTCACTGTTCGATCAACACTTCTAGAAATACTACGCAAACCGTGCAAAATTGCGAGAATAGACAGACCAAAACGATCGGAAACGGTTAAACTGAACAGTATTGTTAACACACTGATGGATCTAGAATGTTTGAACATACAAAGGCTATGTATTTGGTTCCTAAGAGAAAATAGCTTTGTCGCGTTTAGTATTTATTTCTCATCTTACTCAGAGTTTTTGGCGCAATAATGGTGTTATTTTGAGTATTGGCACAATTCTGTACATATACTTGAATCTATAGGTTGCAGTGTTCCCTTCCTACCATCCTGAATGTGAGTCCAACCTACAGCATCACCAGATCAACTTGTACGACTTCTGTCCGTCCCATAATGGTCAAATTAAGTGTCTTTTACAAACAAAAAAGCATAATTTGACTAATAAAGAATAACCAGCATAACTAAGCTTCTAATACCTACAATCTGCAAAAGAAAACTGCAGTTTCATACAAAAAACAGTAAAAAGGANACTAATAGAACATAGTTTTGCCAGGTTTAGGATATCTTTCTCATCTTATTCAGGGTTTTTGGTTCAACAAGAGTGTTATTTTGGGCCTACACATAATACCCTGAATCTGTAGGTCACAATTTTCCCTTGCTACCATCCTGAATGTGCATCCAACCTACAGCATCACCAGTCAACTTGTACGACTTCTGTCCGTCTCGTAATGGTCAAATTAAATGTTATTTACAAACAAAAAAAAGCATAATTTGACTGATAAAGAATAACCAGCATAACTAAGCTTCTAATACCTACAATGTGCAAAAGAAAACCAGTTTCATACAAAAAACAGTAAAAAGGATCAAGGTCATGTCGTTGAGATGTGGCACTAATAGAACATAGTTTTGTCAGGTTTAGGATATCTTTCTCATCTTATGCAGGGTTTTTGGCTCAACAAGAGTGTTATTTTGGGTCTACACATAATACACTGAATCTGTAGGTCACAATGTTCCCTTGCTACCATCCTGAACGTGCATCCAACCTACAGCATCACCAGTCAACTTGTACGACTTCTGTCCGTCTCGTAATGGTCAAATTAAATGTTATTTACAAACAAAAAAAGCATAATTTGACTAGAGATGTATATGTAATTTTTCAGGGTATGGTATACTGCGCCCTTTAAGAGCTACTTTATCCCCCGTTCTCTGCCTAAAGCACATCGATGAGTCCTATCTCATCAAGAAATTTGATTAATAGGCCCGGTTTCAGTGGTTGAAGCTCTTCTATGGTCACATTATACACCCCAAAACATTTCCTCCTGTGGGCTAGTGTGGCTCTGCAGTTTGTCAGTAAATGTGTTGGCGTCTCTTCTGCCTCCTTGCAGAATCTGCATGTGCCATCTTGGATTGTTCCATTTTTCTTTAAGTGTCCATTTAATCTGCAGTGTCCTGTTTGGAATCCTGTTAGGATTCGCAACCTGTTCCTGCTTCCTTTGACACATTCTGTGATTTCTTTCCTAGTTAAAATTGGTTAGAAGATTCTTGGATTGTCTATGTCCAATGAGTGATTCCATTGTTCCTTCATTTTCTTTTTGTCCTTCTGTCTGAGATATTCGTTAACAGTGTGGATTCCTATGCCACAGAAGGGATAGTTTGACAAATAAAGAATAACCAGCATAACTAACTTCTAATACCTACAATCTGCAAAAGAAACCTGCAGTTTCATACAAAAAACAGTAAAAAGGACCGAGGTCATGTCGCTGAGAGGTGGCACTAAGAGAACATAGTTTTGTACGTTTAGGATATCTTTCTCATCTTACTAAGGGTTTTTGGCTCAACAAGGGTGTTATTTTGGGTCTACACATAATACACTGAATCTGTAGGTCACAATGTTCCCTTGCTACCATCCTGAATGTGCATCCAACCTACAGCATCACCAGGTTAACTTGTACGACTTCTGTCCATCCCATAATGGTCAAATTAAGTGTTATTTACAAAACAAAAGAAGCATAATTTGACTAATAAAGAATAACCAGCATAACTAAGCTTCTAATACCTACAATCTGCAAAAGAAAACTGCAGTTTCATACAAAAAACAGTAAAAAGGATCGAGGTCATGTCGTTGAGAAGTGCACTAAGAGAACATAGCTTTGTCCGGTTTAGTGTATCTTTCTTTATCTTTATTCAGGGTTTTTGGCTCAACAAGGGTGTTATTTTGGGTCTACACATAATACACTGAATCTGTAAGTCACATGTTCCCTTGCTACCATCCTGAATGTGCATCCAACCTACAGCATCACCAGGTCAACTTGAACGACTTCTGTCTGACCTGTATTGCTGTACAGCCTTTCCAAACTCAAACTAATGTCAAATTAAGATTTATTTACACACCCTAGAAGCATAATTTGACTAACATCGAACAACAACAGCGGGACAGGTCAAGTTGGAATAATTTCCGGCTTTGCCGTATAGTCCTTTTTCCGGGGTAATAATCCGGCAGACTCGATCGATCCTTATTTTTAATTTAAAATAAAACTGAAGTGATGAATCTTCGAGGGGCTTTTTACCTGAGTCAATTACCGGTAAATAAATAAACAAACACATACCTTCAGCATAGCCGCCATGACAGCTGGTAAACCTAAAATAACCAAACCGCAACCACTACCTATTTCACTTAACGGACGTTTCAGTTTAACTTTTTATATTTACGTTGTATAAAAGTGGAAAAATAGACTGATTAAAAGTTCGAAGGGTTGATGATGATGGTTAGATTTTCACGAGTTTAAAGGGATTTTTCGATCGAGTAAAGATTCTGTGGATGTCAGAAGGGGAGTGTTAGCGTCAGCAGTGGATATTATCGTGAGAACGATTCTGTAAGCAATAAGCAATACGTTCTCGTCTTGTTGGGTTTTTTTGTCGCCTTGTCGAGTGTCAGATTGGATCGCACCAGCTCGTCCGGCCTTTTCCGCTTTTAGCCGAAAAGCACTTGACGCACCGTTCGCCGCAAGACGGACAAAACGATAAGAAAGCCGTAACGGCCGTGTTTTTCCTCCGCCAAGTGTCAAACCACGCCCTGAAAATAGGCCTCTCGGATACGGCTATTATGGACATGATGATATCGAATCTACATCAACAGAGGCAAGTGACGGAGCAGTTGAGGCGAGAGGCTGCCATCAGGCGGATCAACGTCTCCCAGGCGGTCCAAGACATCATGAAGTACATAAGCGAGCACGAACAGGAGGACTGCCTCCTCGTCGGATTCAGCTCACAGAAAGCCAACCCTTTCAAGGAGAAAAGCAACTGCACGCTTTTTTAGTGACCGCATCCAGTCTGGTCAAATGAAATCAAATCCCTTATTAATCATTTGTGAGTCTTTTTGATGTCGTAATATCCCCGTGAAGTACGGAAACTGTAACCCGAAGCTGTTACTGCCTCTCTCTCTTTCTCCTTACCCTAAATGACAAATGTCTCATCTATTCTTAATATATATGCTATAATTTTCTATTAACGAGATAAAAGGTTCTATAAAGTATAATGTATCTATTTATTTTATTTTGATGTCAATGTGAACCAAAATAATAAGTGTTCGTACCAAAACATTGTCTATTTCTTACTCCTATCAATCACGAGTGTTATAAACTGGTAAGGTTTAGTTCATAAACAAACATCATTAAATAACAATAAACGTTACTTTTATTGCAATAAATTATGACTAACTAATGTATATATAATAGTAATTAAGTCAAGGTTTTCATGCGATTGTAATCTATTTTAATTAAAAATTTATTTTGTAATTTTTTGGCCTTCAGTTGGTGAGGAAGATCCAATTAAAAAACCATTAAACATATTTTTTTAATCAAGCAGCCAAAGTTTAAAAAATAACAGGTTGTGAAATAGAAGAAAAATTTTTTTTTTTGGTTTTTATTTAATTTACAAGGGAAAAACAATATTCTGCGTATAAAGTAATGTTGGAAAAACAATATTCTGCGTATAAAGTATTGTTGGAAAAACAATATTCTACGTATAAAATATTATTGGAAAAACAATATTCTGTGTATAAAATATTGTTGGAAAAACAATATTCTGCGTAAAAATATTGTTAGAAAAACAATATTCTGTATAAAAAATATTTTGGAAAAACAATATTCTATGTATGTTGTTTGATAAATGGGTGCAGCAGGGAATTATCTCTTTATTTATTTTTTTTTTTTTATCAACCCTCGGGTTGCCAGTGTTTTTGAAAAAACCCATTTGTAAGTAAAAATTATCTGCTCATGCCTATACTTATAAATTTTAACAAACATGAAAAGAAGCTCAAAATTGCAATTTTTTAATGATTCGCTGTGTAAAGTTTTTCATTTCATTTCAACACAACCTGAATCTTTGGATTTTAAAACATGACTGTAATGAAATTCTTCTCAAGCAGTTAATTTCTTACAAATTTTGATAAGCTCAAAATTGTAATTTTTTAAAGATACTCTATGCACCTGTGTAAAGTTTTTCTTTTAATTCAACGCAACCTGAACCTTTGGATTTGAAACGTGGCTGCAATAGCAGAATCATCTCCGCAAACAGATATTTTTTACGAATTTTAATAAGTATGAAAAAAAGCTCAAAATTGCCATTTTATAAACATATGCTATGCATCTGTGTAAAGTTTTTCATTTTATTTCAACGCAACTGAATCTTTTGATTTTGAAACTTGGCTACAATAGTAGAATCATCTCCTCAAAAAGATAATTTCTTACAAATTTTGATAAGCATAAAAACCCCCCTCAAAATTGCAATTTTTTAAAGATACGGTATGCACCTGTGTAAAGTTTTTCTTTTAATTCAACGCAACCTGAATCTTTTGATTTTGAAACTTGGCTACAATAGTAGAATCATCTCCTCAAAAAGATAATTTCTTAAAAATTTTGATAAGCATAAAAACCCCCCTCAAAATTGCAATTTTTTAAAGATACGGTATGCACCTGTGTAAAGTTTTTCATTTTAATTCAACGCAACCCGAACCTTTGGATTTGAAATGTGGCTGCCGTAGTAGAATCATCTCCACAAACAGATATTTTTTACAAATTTTAAATAAGTATGGAAAAAGCTAAAAATTGCCATTTTCTTTATAAAGATGTCTTCAGCTGTAACAGCGTAATTAACTTAAGCTGACAGATTGATGAATTATAAATATTGGGTTAAAATAATTTTACGCGGCGAAATTCGTAATAAAACTTAAAGGCGATAAACATATGGTTAAAGATAAGTTCAGCAGAATTAACAAAATATATAAGCATTTTAAAAGTTTAAAAAAACAAATATTAGAATAAAAGTTTACTTCATGCAAAACACACAAAAAAAAAAAAAAATATAAAAGACCAAAATATATCACATAATACATTGTTATGTTGCTGTATATATTGTTTTTAATAGATGGAATACATTGAAGCATGCCTGTAACAGTGGCATTACCTCTCGGCACAAATTTATATTTGTGATAACGTAAAATATGTACTTTGCTTTATAGGGATTATAAATATTACTATCCAGTTTGTATTAAAATTTGTTCTTAGTTGTTTTAATACTATGTAAAGTACCCAGTGATGTACGGTTGGTTTAACTGTTTATTTTGATGACATGTGAATATATGTTTGAGTGATGATACACTGTTTTTCACTTTTACGCATCTGTGATAATGATTTGAGTGATAATGGGCGTTAGTGGGCTAACTAGTTTTTTATACAGAAAGGAGGATGTGTATTTTAAAAAGTTTTATCTCAAGAACACTCCGTTGGTCATCGATGGTAACAGCCTGGCAGCATATGTGTCTACTCATATCGGCGGTTACATGACTTTTGGTGGAGACTACGACAGGCTCGGTGCCAGGCTGGAGTATATATTCACAATGTTAGCTTCTTGCGGTATCGTTCCGATTGTCATATTCGACGGCTCTGCCGAAAAGAAAAAATACAAGACGATTATTGCCAGATTCGTCGGGAGGGTTCTGGGTCTGTACAACGTCTCACCGGGATACTATTGCGCCCAGTTCTTTCCGATAATGCTGAGGGCCGCTGTGAGGAATAAGCTGCGCAGCCTGGGAGTAACAGTGTTGCAAAGCGATTTCGAAGCCGACAGGGAAATCGCAGCTGTAGCGGATAAATTAAATGCTCCCGTGTTAAGCAACGACTCGGATTTTTTTATTTTCAACGTCCTTTACATACCTCTCGGTATGATTGAATTTAAAGTTGAAAAAGCAGGAATGCCTTGTCTTATTTTCAGTGTCGAAAACCTTCTGTGCAGGTATGACGGTTTGGAGAAAGATGTACTACCGCTTCTTTCTGTTGTTGCAGGAAATGATTATTGCAGCGGCTCTGTTTTCTTGAATTTCTTAGGTAAACTTTCCAAATGCAGTAATTCGAGTTTCTCAAGATCTTATAAAACAATTCATTCTGTTTTATACTGGCTGAAAACGGAATCTTACGACTCAGCATTTGAAAAGGTTATAATTTAACAGATCATGTAATTTACATAATTAATTATTTATTTAATTTTTTTTAAATACAGATTGTAAGCAGTTTTCCAGCGAAACAAAGAAAAACTATAAAAAAGTTGATAAAAAATATAGTCAAAGGTTACACTGATTTGGAAACATCGCTTGTTGATTACATACCTGAAGAGAAGCTAAATAACATAAAAAATGCAGAAAAGGATATAACATTGAGTGAAGGAATTGCAGCACTGACCATTTCCGAGGAAAGCACAGAATCAGACATTGAAAACGACGATGAAATAGAATCAAATGTTATTCACTGTCAAGACGACGATGCTGAAGAATGTACATTTAGTTTAAATGTCGAGTCTGATGAATGTACATTCGGTTTGAAAAATGATTCTGAAGACGATTCTGAAAACGAGGTAAAAACAGAACAACTTCCAAGTTGGGTTTTAGAACGGAGTCGAGTTGGTCAGTTTGACGCTGTGTGCCTTACATTATATAATTTAAAATCTTTCTTTATGAATCCTCAAATCGAAGAGTACAATATGGAGTATGCTGGCATCGTCGCTCTACCCGTCATTCAATATCTTGCTGGTGTCGTATTAGGAGAAACGGAATTCTCCCTGTGGTCACGTGCTAATACAAATAAATACGAAGCCACTTCAGTAAAAACGTCGCAGTTCAGTGTAAATGTTACTTTGGAAAATATCCCAAAGATAAATGGATCTTTGAGGAAACAATTATTAATGCAAGCTTTAAACATAGAAGATGGCAGGCTTTCAAAAGAATGCCCTGAAGAATGGGTTATCTATTTGTTTTCTGTGATATTCTGGGCAAAGTCGCCTTCCAGCTCAGCAAAGCCTTACCACGTTTATTCGTTAATAATGGTGCTAATTGCAATCACCACAATGGATCATAAAATCGGTTATTACAGGAAAAAAAATTATTTACAGCGTAATAAAAATAAAATTATGTTATTAAAATCAAATTGTAAAAAGAATGTTAAAACTGAAGTTACCAATCCTTCAGTAAAAAAAGCACATTCTAAGGTTAGCAAGGATGAGTGTCTTCTTATGACTGAATCACTCACTCCTTATTTTATGATAGACAGAACTTTAAGGTGCAGGAAGGTATCGTCGACAAAATTTTCCAAGGCGATAGTCCACGCATTTTCAGAGTTTCAGGCGTGTTTGCAATCTGTAATGTTGCTCAATGAAGTTTTAGGAATGGCTTATGCGCCCACAGACATTACAAAAATTTATAACGGTACTTTTTTATACAACATGACTGTAAAACTCATGTCGAAAAGTTGTTACACATTTTTAAGAAGTTTCTTCGAACAAAAAGGTGCGTCATCGCTGGCAAAACTTTTTGTTTCTTTGTGTGAAATTTTGAAAGACTATTTACCAGAAATTATGACTAGTGAATGCAGCAAGGTTAAAAAACGAAAAGCAAATAAGTCTAAAAAGAAAGTGACGACAGTCTCTGTTGAAAGTACAATTGATTTAGTGGAAGACACGAATGATTTTGTTGATCCCAACAATAAATTTAATTTACTTTCATGTTTGTAATATTTGTGTACATATGTATATATGTTTTTACATTAAATATATTTGTTTTGTTTTAATAAAAAACAATGTAATTAATGAAAAAATTGATGAAAATATAATCTTATCTTAACCTACCACAAGCTTATATAAAGGTCATAATCAAATATCAAAAAATTGTTAAAGTTGCTACATCTGAGTGAACACCAAGTACAATATATTTTTTATTTANAATATTTAGTCAATATAAGAATTGTTTCTGTTTTTTAATTTAAAAGAAGATAATAATAATCACTCAGTTTCCTTTAAAAAATAAAAGTCAAATTGTAAATTCCAAACCGACGACCTTAATTTCAAATTTTGTTAATTTCTCAATATAAGAATTGTTTCTTTTTTAATATTCTTTTGTTTATTATTCATTCATTTATCTAAACAAGGAAAAGATCCACTCCCTCGGGGAAGGACCAAACAATAATGCAATAAAGTTTTTTTCTTTGCTGCTTTCTCGCCAGAAAAATCAAACGTGTCGCCTCTAGTCCAGCGCAAATCCAACAGGCTTCTTCCAGTGGAAGTCTCCTTCCTCCTCCTTTTAGTGGTTTGTGGAACGGCTTTGGGCGGCCTTTATAAATTGCACTGTGATAAGTTTTAGTTAGATGGCATTTTTTATGTGCGAGTTTTCAATCTTCATTTCATTTCTTCCCAGAGATATTCAGTGAAATATTAGTACATACAATAGTAGTAAATGCCCAATTCATTTGTCGTAAGAATTTGTGGTAAATGTAGGCAAGATAAAAAAAAATTTGAAAAAATTCAATAGCATTTCAATGAGAAAAAGTCATTCGTTGGTCAGATCTTGTGACCCTGTGCCGGTTCTGCATGATATATTTTGTGGTTATTGAAATTCAGAGTGGTTTAATAAGTAAAAAAAAAAAAAAATTAGAAAACCAGTTAAATGTCAAGATTATAGGCCTTAGTGATATGCAGGATGGGGTTCGCAACAAACCTAACAACTCAAAACCCATCAAATACCGTTTCCAAAATTTTCTCTAAAATATTTCTCAAGAAATTATTAAGTTGGTTAAGTATAACATTAATTATAAATAAAAGGTTATTTTTTGTATTAATACAAACTAATAAGAGACAAAATCAAAGTACATGTCAATATTGGTAATATGACAAAGATATATTGCACCGAAAATCTTTTCAAATAAGTATTTACATAAAATATATTTTGTACACTCACAAGTGCTCTTGATATGTGAGATTCTCTGCCTGTCCGGCATACCAACGCTGCCACTTTCTTTAATCATGTTCTTCATTACATTTTCAGTGTCAGAGGGCTGGATCGTGGTCAAGTCATAGGGTTTTAACATTAAGTCATACATATTATTTTGTTTCTAGAATGTTTAATAATAAACCACAAAACATAATTATATAATAAAATTTAACTACATTAATTAAACTGTATTCACCCACAAGCAATAAACAGTTAATAATAGTTATTGATGGAAAGAACAAATATAAATGATAAATTGAAGGTTGGTTTTTACCAAAAGTTCTCAAAACTTGCTAAGAAATTGCAGCAACATAAAAGGGAAAGATTAAAAAGAAATGTAAAGTAAAGAAAGAGGTGAAAAGAATAGAAAATACAAATGGCCTTTTAACAATGGCAAACAATTTTCTAAGATAATGACCCAGACATGTGTGTTTAAAGAAAACAAAGAGCCTGTTATCAAGAGAACAAATTGACTTTAATGTACATAAAATTAGTGAGCATTATGTACATAATTACAAGAATTATAGTAATTTTCTTTTGCATCTTTTTCAGGACTACTGTTTTGTTTTCAATGATGGCTTAAAGTGAAGCAAATATTGTAAAAGTATGTGAATCATATTGAAAAAAATATAAAACTACACCTAAAATTGGCTAAGAATGGCTAAACATTATCACAATTAATTACAAGACTATTTTTATGTGAGTTTCTCACTTTATTATAAATATGGATTTGTGACCAATGATAAGTAAAATAAGATACACCAAGTACCCCGAGGAATATCAAGTACTCTGGGGTAGTGCTGTGTATATCTAATTAATAACCGGAAAGGAAAGGTTTATTCCCAATTACCCTGAAGAATATCGAGTAGTCTGGGGTAGAGAGAGAATGAATGTACGAATGTAATTTATTAGCATTTTGAATGAAGAGGTTTATCCCTAATTACCCTGAGGAATATCAAATATTCTGAGGTAATGTGAATGTAATTTATTAACATGAATGGAAGGGTTTATTCCTAATTACCTCGAGGAATATTGAGTATGATAACTAACCAGATTATCAGGTTTTTATCTTATTTCTGTGTATTTGTGTTATTTTTTTCACAATTAACAAGCCCCCGATGTACAGAGAGGGCTAGCGATAGGATAAAGAACAAAGAAAAAAGAAAGTTAGTTACCATTGTACCATAAAATATCGAAGCTTAGCTGGAGAAAAAGAAAAAGACATTAATTAGTAGAATTAATGCAAAACAAGATAAGAAAAGAAATATTAAGGCTAAAAGCTAAGGAAGAGAGGTGATGATCAATACAGTCCTAAAACTTAAAAAAAAAAAATTGAAAATTATATCACTTTGAATGAAATTTCCACAATTATCTTTGAAGTATTTATCTAAAACATTGTTACAGGTTAATAGGAATGAAAATCAAAGAAGGATGTAATGAAAAATAAGTAAAATAAAATTATATTAATAAAATATATTATATATAATATCAATAAAAAATATATATATTGGATAGACAATTTTTTCACATAAATATTTATATAAAACAGAATTGTCTTGTTATTTATTTTTACACTGTATCAAAACTATTTTTTCTAACCAATGTCAGTGACAAGGTTTTAAATTTGTTTGACATGAAGATAGAAAACCAGTCGAATGAACTAATAATTAGATTAAAAACCTGTATCTTTATATTTCATCTCACACCTTTACTTTCCTGAAAGATGTATCCTATATAAGGAAAAAATAAAAATTCCAGACTTCCTCACCAAAAGTAAAAAAGTCAGCCTATCAAAATAGTGATATCTCCATTTTGACCAAGCTCACATCACTCCTAGTTTTATGAGCAACACAAGGTCTTTTTTATTGGCTAACTCTTGGCCGGGTTTTGAATGAGAATTAAAACATCAGGACCATGTTTGCTCCACAGAGGAAGTGGGTGAAGGGAAGGTAGAGAACTCATAAGAAAAAAAAAATTCCAGCCTCCTCTCCTCATTGCTCCTTCAGAAACTGGCCAAGTGATAAGCAATAAAAATAAAAGACCTGTGTTGCTAATAAAAGCAGGAGTGAAGTGAGGTTAGTCAAAATGGAAATTTCACTATTTTGCCTGTTGTCTTATAGGCTGACTTTTTCACTGTTTTGGAAGGGAGTCTGTAACTTTGATCTTTTCATTTAAGTTCTCTCAGTTTATGGACTAAAAACAGAATGGCCTAGGCCACAGTGTAGATGCCACATTGATAGGCTAATGTTTTTGAAGGGGTCTGGAACATGGCCCTTTTTTCACAGTTAGGTTTTTGTTGGGATACCATACTTTTTCTTTTGTTCCAGCATCATGGTCGTCATCGTTTTTTTGAAGCACAGAAGAGATTTTGCGTGTCATAAATTTTCTCTTATAAGATCATTTGGGCCTCTGTTGAGGAGCTGAGAAATTGGCCCCTCGGGCGTTGTCACATGTTTTTTATTTTTTCTTAACAAGTAGTTATTTTCAATTAATCAACTGGCACATATCATAAAATTTATTATTTATATTTTTCGTTTTCATTAAACTTGATTTATAAAAAAAAATCACTCCCAGGGGCATATGGGCCACCAAATCCACCCTTCTAATCGAGCAATTGAATGCTCAAAAATATGTACGTGAAACGTTGTAAGGAAAATTATTTTTTCTTAAATCGTTGGGTGTGCGTAACTTCACGAATTTAGAACTACCCTCCCATCCCTAAAGTGGTACAAATTTTAAGAAACGTTCAATTTTCAAATTTTTCCTTTCACTTACTATATGAAACCTACCTTTGTACCAAATATTTTTTACTTACTTTCACTTACACGGGAAGTGCCTTATAATTTTGATAATGAGACTTCCCCCTCCTCCTCTAAAGTGATATCAATTTTGGAAAAATTGCAAGTTTCACAAGCTTACCTGTTTTTACAATATAAGACCTAACTTCGTACCAAATTTCATGTTTTTACCTATGCGGGAAGCGCCTTAAAATTTTGATAGACTATACTCTCTCCCACTAAAGTGGCACTAATTTTTAGAAAATCCCAATTTTCAGATTTTTTCCTTTACTTGCAATATAAAACCTACCGTTTTAACGAATTTCACGTTTCTAGATATTCAGGAAGTAAGTAGCTTATAATTTTTGTGATCAGTGAATCAGCCTGTAACAAAAATGCAAAATTTGAAATTCTCCCCTTCCGAAAACGCTTAATATTAAACGCTCAAATTTTTACCATGTCCTAAACACCTAAGCTTAATTTTATATTTTAAATTTCAAAAGCCCATCTTAAGAGGAAGCAACGATATGAGAGTGAGAATTGGTGAATTGGTTCATGTAAAGATAAACATGGCTGGCTGGAAGTTGACCAGCGTTCTGCCGTGCACTCAGATCCGGTAACGACGATAAGCATTTCAGAATGGTATAATCAGTGCGCCGTGCAATGCTTTTTTTCACTAGCAAAGGGACGACCAGGTTGGTGAGTCACGGATTGGCCCAAACCTTTTTTTCGTGATTCTACAATCCAAAATATCGGACACGAATCCGCCGCTTCTTGTTAATAAGCCCTGGTTTCGGAATAAAAAAGTTGAAATTTTAGTAAAAAATTATATTTTTATTTCGCCTTTGTACTTGCTCAAATCAACTATGCGAATATATCATTTTACAGCATTTTTTATGTTAGATATTTTGTAAGGTTTCTTGTTCAGCCTAAAAAAATTAAATAGAACAACCACTGAAAATGGCGAAACGCTTAAGCAGTCTGACAGATCAATATATCGATGATGGACGGCCAAGGATGTTCGGAAATGACTAAACCAAAATGATACATTTTTATCTAAGTGACTTTAATGGCTAAAAGATCGGATTGTCATGATGACAAATCAACGTTATTCACGATGGTGGAAGGTCCAACCTTCTATTCCTCATTGGTTGCTCTCTCTCACAACGTTGCCACATTTA